GTATTTAAATTGTTATACATTACATAAGTATTACATGAAAATTTACACCAAAATAAACTGATTAAACACTTACTTTGCCATATTCCGAGCTAGGTTATCCTTCCTACAAATCTCACCCATACTTGGAAAATGGTTGATTTTCTTTAGAGTGGAGACAAAACAGTAAGAATTAAATCATTCATTATTATAAAAGAAATATTGAATAAATTTGTGAACATGTATATGTATAAGATACAGGCTATGTGAGTGTTCCTTTCTTTGCATGAAGGTATCCTGCACACTGATTTGTCTAGATTCCCACAATATCACATATTATAAGGTCTACTCAAACAACTTAATTAGTAACAAAAATTTATCATACCTGAAATGATTTTAGTTCTATAATTTTTTCAACTGGCACTGATGAATCACTCCAAATGAGGAAACTGCATGTAAAGAAAGTCATTGTTGAAGAGAGAAAAATCACACTTATCAAATTGATTGAAAACTATGGCTTTTAAGATAGATGGATGTAAAAAAATAATCAGTGACTGACATTTTATTTGTACATGTAACACTACATCCTCCATCAGGTTACTTTTTCAGAAAAATAATTTACATGTATAAAGTTTTCCTATCACTGCTAACTCACCTGTTTGAGTCATCATCCCTTGCAATATACATTCCACATTGAAGACAAACTTTTCTAACTGCAAGGGAGAATTTTTATAATGAAAAAACATTGTTATGAGATAATTCCAAATTTCAGATATACAGTAATTCCTGGAAAAGTATCAGAAGCTGAATCCATATTCATATGAGCTATGATCTCACTTTGCTTTTGATTCACTCAAATACTTTTTTCAGAAAATTTGCATCATCCTCTCCCCCAATCAGAAGTAAAACTAATTCAGTCCCAACTAATATCCCATTAAATGTCATTCCAATAATGCTTAAAAGCTTTTTCATGGGTGTTTTTTTTAAAACAGAGTTTAAATTCTTTTCTTCATAGAAGCTGCTTAAACAGATGTTAGTTACACTTAAAATTTAGTGCATTGAAATTAAAAGTTGTTGATTAGATGGATCCCATAGAAAATTAAGTTTTTCAGTTCTCTGTATCTGATTTTTATTCAATTATAAACCTCTTGTTTAACTTAACATGTTTTACTAGTGTGAATAGGATATAAATCAACTGCATTTTGTTGGGCTTTAGTCACCATCTTCTTGTTGTGTTGTCAGTTCTTGGTGGTCCTAAGTGATATGTTCTTTTTTTTATGACTAGCTATTGGGATTACTTTGGTTGTGATTACACTGATTGGAAAAGTGCTCTTTAAGTGATTTTGCTGTTGTAATATTGCCCCTCTCGTGGAGGGAACTTTACTGAGAAGGGCTTTCAAGACCTGGGGTTGGAGGGAGAGGGGGGGAGCTCAATTAAGAGAGATTACATTAACACATACACGTACATGTGCACAAACATGTGAAGAAAAGAATACATTTATTTTAACAAATAAGAAATGAATTTTTCCAAATGCACGTGCATACAGATCCAAATCAAATGAAACCGATAAGTTTGTGATCCTTCAGGTTAGTTTACGTCTGGAAGCTTATTTTTATTGCCTTAGTTATAACTAAGTCGAGTCTTCAACGGTCCATTGTGGATGGTAACAGCATACACCAAAAGTGTTAATTATCAACATTAAGTCTGTGGACGCGTGACTACAATGTAAACATGCATAATTGGCAACATAACGCTTAATATTTTTAAGCGTTAAAAATTTTGTATTGGTCTTGGTAGAAGAAATGTGCGTCTGATCAATTTAAACGACGAAGTTGACTAGAGAACGCCTCAAAAATACTTCTTGAGCGCGCATCACAGCCTAGGGACAAAGAAGTAATTAAGCTCTTTTGAAACCATGTCGACAATTTTAAACCACAGATTCAAAGAAACAATGATGACGATTATTTTGCATCAAAAGATCAACGTTACCGTTGTTAGTTCCAACAATTAACGAGAGCGAAACGAAGCACGAAAATAAAGTTATGTAATGGTCGTACTTTAAACCTCAAAATATATGTGTAACGATGCGATAAAACTGCACAAACATATCTTACACTTGTAACTTTGGTAATCTTCCACGTACACGAAGAACAAATGTAACCAATCTTCCTCATGGAAGTATGACCATGTACAAGTACCATTGAGCCCAAAATAAGTTGTAATTTTGACTTACCAACATCGTACTTAGTTGCAGCTAAATTGGCCGTTACACGGCGTTTCTTTTGAGGTTTCTTCTTGATAGAATTGTTTACTGTTTGCTTGCGAACATGGTTTGTTCGAGCCCGTACCATACTTCTTGTCTGTTCCAAGTTTTCTTCACATTCGTCGGCCAAAGATGCCGCATACTCACTTTCCCTTCCTTGATTTTCACAAAAGTTGTCAGCAGTGCTTAAAGCAAGTAATTTAAGGTTGTCTTTGGTCATGACAGACCTACTTTCATTGAAACCATGGCTGCTGTCTTCCAATTGGTTACAGAACCCAAAGGCGTTCGAGACGACAATGGAATCTCCATGCTCAAATTGTCTGTGCTCGTGATTATGCCGAAAATCGTCCATTACATTCATTGCACAGGGCAGAAATCATAAAATCTAAAGTGTCCTGGAAAGTGATTTGGTCGCAGACGAGGATTTGTGCACCTGTATGCAGAACTTTTGTGTCCGTGAATTTCTATCACAGGTGTAGCGTGACAGAATTACCATAGCTACCGTAGCCTACACTGCATTGAACTCATTTACAACTTCCATATTTGGAAATAGGGGAGCCCCCATTTAACTCAACCCAATTTGCATTTCTCTCATATTTCAAATCTACCCGCTAGGTAGTGCTCGACTCCTATGTCTTATATCAAATTTCTGCTCAAAAATGGGATAAACAGTGTTTTTCAGGTACAACCATTTTGTAGTCTCCTTATGTCCATTACGGTTGTTCCATTTGTGACCGGAACGTCCTTTTCATCTTTTTAAATCGAAGGTAAGCTGTATTGCGGAATGTAGCGTGCTTACTGAAAGGAAGTTATGATGTAGTTACGACACTGATTATTATACGTTTCCGATGTCTTAATCAAAGGTAGCAACATAAATCGTAATCAGTTTTTTCGTGATGCCGATTGATTTTGAAATACGCCTTGAATTAGAGAGGAATTCGACGATCATAAAGGAAGGAAGGAATTCGAGAATCATTTACCCGTAGTAGCGGTAACATTTCCGCACAGCCCCATACTATTGTAAAACAAATCTGTTTTCCCAATGGCAATGTATTGTTTTTGTTTTCTCTATTCAAGAACTGAATGCATAATGTAGCATGGGGCTGTGCGGAAATTTTACCTCGATGGGTTAGTTTTCTAACTCCAGAGCTACAACAAATTTTGGTAAAATTTCCTCACAGCCCCATACTACATTATGCATTCAGTTCTTGAATAGAGAAAACAAAAACAATACATTGCCATTGGGAAAACAGATTTGTTTTACAATAGTATGGGGCTGTGCAGAAATTTTACCCAAATTTTGATGTAATAACCATGACTACCTTTTAGCTGACTTGTGCGTGCCATCCATTCGGTTTATCTAAACGCCGTATTGTAAATCGAGTGTGCAGTACTTGCATTTCACTTGTACACACAATGTATGCTATTACGACGATTGCTTACATGTATTTTGAAACATTTTCGTCTGCTTTTTTCAGCAGATCATGGTTGTGTCTTAGTTTGAGGGCTCAAAATTAAAGGTACTGCGAAGGCTTCCTGTGATGTCTAGGCTACAAGAGGTAAGTATGCTTTTATGGCAGATGATTGAATAAGCACTTTATCAAAGGGACTAGGTCATGCTGTAAGTGATTGCACTGAGTTCTACCAACTTGTCCCTCAGATGTGTTATATTTCAATATTCCTGCATTGTATTTGGCAACAAGCACCACAATTAGCTGCCAAAGCAAGTTCTCAAGTTGCTTTTGTTATGTTTTGTATTGTGGTGTGTTGCAAGAGTGCCTAACTTGCACTTACATGCATTTTTTTCTGTTACCTTCTCTGAAGTTTAATTAATTGAGGGCACTTATTCTCTATCTAATAATAATATCTGTACATTATCCAGCAAACAGGTAATCAGAACACTCATATTTATCAGTTAGAAGTTGTAATCTTGATCTGAAGCCAAATTCTTGTAACTTATTTACAAAAAAAATGTGTAGTAGGTAGAGAGGAGAATTAACAGTCCACTCTTGGGAGTTAAGGATTAAAAAGGAAGGATTTATCTTACCTGTCTAATTGGCAAGAATGAGAATAAAAGCTGATGAGACAGCTCTCTTGGGAGTTCTTCTTTATTTACAGTAATCCTGGAAAAATAATAACTACACAAAAGATCAGTACCTATGAGTTAATTTTTTTTTTGATGATGAACAAATTTCTGAAGTCCACCATCATAGAAAAATTTGCCTGATGCAAAATGATTAAATGTACCATCATCAAAGGACAATGAAAATTAATGCTATAAAGAGACAAAAACCTGCATTTTCCCAGCACTCACATTCACAAGACATGATCCAGAAATTTGAAAGTGTTCCGAAGATTTTGAACTTTGTTTATTCACAGTGAATAATTTACAGCTATTATGAGCTCCTTAATGTTCAACAAATTTGAATCTGCAACTTGCAACCTGCAACTGTCTTTCTGCAACTGTCTTTGTTGCCAAGGTAATTAGTAAAAATGTTGACATCTAAATCTGAAGCACAATTGGCCAATTAAGTGATCACATAGAAAGCTGTTAGTAGTATTTTCATTTGTTTATTTTTATGGTCTGAAGTTTAGGTGAGATAAACAATTTTACACAATAATGTGGTGCTGATGCTATGTTCAGTATACAGGATGTATGTCATGTATGAACTGAAAAGTGTTCTAGCCTACCGTAGAGTCTTAGTGGTTCAGTGGTAGATGATCAGAATTTAGAATCAGAAGTTCTGAGCTTCAATTCTTCAGGGGAACTTAAAATATTTCTGTTGTCCTTTGCTCATGACCCAGGGGAAAAAAGTGTCCTTCTTCATTTTACAATTTTAGTTTGCTAAGTGGTTACTTCAAAAAGAATCAAGCTTGCAAAGCCCTTTCTATACACTCCTTCAATAGTTAACTGAGCACAAGCAATAAATTATCTCTAAAATTTGATAAGGAAAGCATTGGTGTTTAAGTGAACACCATTTGTGTGGGAAGAGTCTGATGTAACTCAATCCATGTAACTCATCTAAAAGGGAGACCTAAATCTATAAAAACCTGTCATTTTATTTTTTTTTCTTGTAATCAGAACATTGTTTCTAGTTTGTTCGCTGTACAGATCAATCTTTCAGGGCCAGGAACATAATCCAAATAATCAGAATTTTCTAAATCCAACATTATGGTCTGGTTAAAAGTAACACAACCCTAAATCACTACTGTAATTTTGAATAAGGGTCGTCACTAGTAAATATCTGAACTGAGGCAGCATAATTTTGGTGAGCAAGTGCTCAGTATTATCTTAACCCTTAAACTCCCAAGATCTGATTGTTAATTCTCCCCTCTAGCTGCTACATAATTCCTTTTAAATTAGTGATGAGAATTCAGTGTTAGATCAAGATAACAACTTCTACCTGTTTGCAGAATGGTGTATGGATATAATAGGGAGAAGTTACAAGTTAATCACTTTTGGGAGTTAAAAGTTTAAGGAAAACTAAGGCCACCTTCTTTCTGATTTTAATGGCAGTGAAAGACTGGAAAGAGAAAGAAAATTGTATCAAGAGGGCAGTCAACTGTCAAAAACAAGGAGAGGGGTGGGGGTGGGGGAGTGAAGATTACACCTACCCAAGGTCATTGTTGTTTCGTGAATCTCCATTTGCCCAACAACAGAGTTCCTGATGGGTGCGGTTAAGCTCTAGCTGTCAATCACAAGCCAAATGTGTCGTTTGAACATTAAATTGTTCTTGTGGGAAAATGCAAACGATGACAAATTCTGTAAATGGTGAAGTTGTTAGTTTCGATTCTGCCTTTGAAGAAGCACCTAGGTGTCTCTCAAAATTTGATATGTCTCGCATCTTCGAATTGGAATAAAAAGAAGCAATTTCTTCACTGATTTCTGGAAAGAATCTACTGTCTGTGTTGCCAATTGTCTTTGGGAAAAGCCTGATATAATTTTTTGATCTTCAGGTGTTGGTTCATATGAAAGAAATTTTGATGGAGAAACCTTCCAAGCTTATTTAACCAAGATACTAAGCTTATAACATTAGCTTGCCCTAAAAGGACACCTGAACTGCAGGCTAAATTGTGCTTGCATACATGTAACAAGCATAGCATGTTGCATGGGGACATGCCCCTCTAGGGGGGTCCAGGGCATGCTCCCCTGAGAAAATGTGATATTTGGAACTCTCTGAAAACCGATGTCTAGCATTTTGGGGAACATTTGAGTGACTTTTTTTTTGCCAGACACAAATGTTAGAAACATGTTCAAAAATATTTATTTTCTGTCTTTGATCACATTTCACAAAGACGCCAGTGCCAAATGGTCTGGTCTTTTGACAATCCTGTTGAATTGAAAATATCATTACACGGTATCCTTCATTGCTTGTGATTTGTCTTTATTCACACTTATAAAACTTTATTTCAGGAATCATCCGTTCTTGGTGTAGCCTCTACATCACAGGAAAGCCCAAGTTTAATGGAAAGTGAAAAGCTAAGAGTTACTCTGTTAGGTAGTGAATGGAGCTCATCTAAAGGAGGCTTGTCAACTATTAACAGGGAGCTGGCAATTCAGTTAGCAAAACATCCCAATGTTGATGTCAGTGTGTATCTTCCAAGTTGTAGTGATGAGGACAGGAGAGCTGCCAGTAGCCATAATGTTCAGCTGATTGAAGCCCAAGAATCGCCTGGTTTTGATCAGCCAATTGATTGGTTGGTTTCTTTACCTAATGGCCATTATCCACACTGTGTCATAGGGCATGGAGTACATCTGGGTCGACAGATACCACACATTCAAAAGCAGCAACCTTGCAAGTGGATCCAGGTTGTTCACACAGCTCCAGAAGAACTTGGAATGTTCAAAAGTTATAAAGAAGCCATTTCCAGAGGTGAGAAGAAACATTGTGCAGAAGTACGACTTTGTGAGTTAGCTGATGAAGTGGTTGCAATTGGACCAAAGCTGGCAAATGCCTACTCTCGCTACCTTCGCTTCTGCAAAAAAGATCAGCATGTATTCAACCTCACCCCAAGTATTTTTACTGAGTTCAGTAACATTGAACAGGCCTCAGAAGAAAGGAAGAACTTTTGTGTTCTAGTTTTTGGGCGTGGTGACCATGAAGATTTTGAGCTGAAAGGATATGATATCGCAATGGAAGCAATTGCCCAATTGAAAGATGAGTCATACCAGCTAAAGTTTGTTGGCGCACCTGAAGGAAAAGAGAAAAAAGTGGCACGTAAGTTGCGTAAGTATGGCATTCCTCGTAGTCAACTAACTGTTTGCTGTTTCAAAGAAGATCGAGAACAGCTAGGCAATTTATTCTGCGAGGCTGATCTGGCAATCATGCCTTCAAGAACTGAAGGATTTGGTTTGACAGGGCTGGAAGCCCTATCTGCTGGTCTGCCTGTCCTTGTAAGTGGTAACTCTGGACTTGGACAAGCATTGGAGGAAGTTCCTTTTGGTTCCCCATGTGTAATTGATTCAGAGGATCCTAAAGAATGGGCTGATGCCATCAGAGTCATCCGTCAAAAAAAAAGGACTGTGCGACTTAAAGAAGCCACTCTGCTTCGAGAAGCATATGCAGCAAACTACAGCTGGCAGAGACAGTGTGAAAGTCTTGTTGAGAAAATGGTGAATCTTTTATCTGGTGAGAGCTATGTTACATGTATCTTCTGCGGGATAGTTTTTTTTTCTATCTTGATGCAATTAATGTAGCTACAACAGCAGGGTGTTCATGTGTACTTCAGTTCATTTCCTTAGAAGTGCTCTTGTTTGTGTGATTATGTACATTTATGATCTGCATGTAAAAGCTGTTGGAAATATGAATAGTCATTACCAAATACATACATACATTTATTGAGCACATCCCCATCTGGGGCTACAGTGAACAAATTGGATTACAAAATTAAAATACATACAATACAATTCAAATTATATATCTTTAAATAAAATAGGGTCAGTTTAAAAATTCATTCAACCCTATTTTATTTAAACATATATAATTCATATTGTATTGTTTGTATTTTAATTTTGTAATCCAATTTGTTCACCAAAATCAGGGTTGAGAAGTTTCTGATATATTCATCGTGTATCTGTACATGTACATGTACATGTACATGTACATGTACATATACTTTTATGATGGGGAAATACAGTTTCCTCCTCAACTTACTATTAAATAATTATTACCTAAAAGTAGATAAGGATCAGATATTTTTGTATAATTTGGATGTAGCATGCTTCTGTTTCTCAAACCTGTAGGTATACAGTCATAAACTACATATACATGTACCTCATTTGAAATTTATAATGTGTTATTCTTTTTGTGGATACTTGTAGTTGATCCTGTTACTCAGCAACCATTGGCAGCGTCTGAAGAAAATGAATCCTCAACCACTTTAGCTGTTCAACAGGAAGGTAGGCAACTGCCTCTTCGTAGATAGCTTATTGTGCTCCTTTAAACAGGAGCATGATGACAGGGATGCATGAGTGGCAGAAAATAGCTCAAGAAAGGATTTAATTTTCAGTGAAAGGTTTTTAATGATGGTGAAAGGTTAACAGTAAGCTAGGCACTATGCACTCTGGTGCAAAACTGCATAAGCTGGGTAGGAACCGTAAACTGGTGGAGTTAATTGTACAGATGTCAGCAGTGACCTGAGTGACTTGGCAGTCAGATTTTTTGGTATAATTTAGATGTAGTAAATACTCAGGAAAGGTAACCTTAATAGTTATGTAATAATCTTACCCACAAGATTAGGAACAGTGTTGCAGAGTTTTGAAATAGCATTTACATGGGAAAGTCTTTCTATAGTTATTTTACTCAAGACAGAGGTTCTGTTGAAAGTTGAACAAGCATGGTCAACTTGATTGGTGTCTCTTTTTAGGTTGACTTAGATTAAAAAAAAAATTAAGGATTCAAATAACAGAGTCAAAGTTACATGCCAATTTTTTTGAGTGAATGAACAAATCCTTGTAGGATAATTTAGTAGGATGAACTAAGTTGATAATGTAAGAATGGCCACTGACGTTTAAAGCTGATGTTTCCAGTGCTAGCCCTTCGTCAGAGTGAGGGGCTAATGCTTGAAACATCAGCTTTAAAACTCTTTATGGTATGGTGGCCATTTTACGTTATCAACTCAGTTGATGATACTTAATTACCCTGTTATACTCTCCCAATGAGGCAGCATCACAGTTCCTTTAGAAACTTACCCCCTTTATTAAAATCCTCTTGTAGTTGACCTCACTCAGTATACCTTTGTTAATTGTCACACCATCATTTTGCAACAAATTCTTGAAAAATATCTTAAGCCCTGAGAACTGTTGCTCCCTCTGCTTTCCAAAATACTCAATCCTTGATCCACATAGTTCTTTCTGTTTTTTTTTTTTTTTTTTTTTTTTTTTATCTTAAGCCATATTCAATGATTTTTCAGAAACCTGCTATTTACATGTATAAAAATAAAGTAATGATAATTAAGTTGTTTGTCTTTTAGGTTGGAGTGAACAAGTCATCCATAATCTTCAACAGTGGCAACAGAATGCCAGTAGATGTAAGATCAGCAGCAACACAGACCGACTCTCAGACTTAAAGAAGATTGCTTCAGAAAAGGGCTATAGAATTTCTGACAATCCAGGGTCAGGAAATTGTATGTTCTATGCCTTGTCAGAGCAACTGAAAACTGTTAAAAGAGTAAAGATCCATCACTTTGAATTGAGGCAGTCCTTAGTTCAGTATCTAAGAGAGCACCCAAAACAGGTGAGTATTTGGTAAAGTACATGTAATCTCTAGAACAGACTGATGCTACAAATGTATCCTCTGTTCCATATTCAAATGAAATGTTAGGAATTATTATTAGAACATTTTCAATGCTTTCATCAGGAAAAAATTAGTGTGTTTAGTACATGAAAAGGACAATTTGTCATAAAGTTTGTATTTACTACAATGTCTTTCTTTATTGTTTTTCTTGTTTTAACTTATTATAGAACAACTGTGGGAAGTATAATGCTGACAAGTGAACTTGTTTATAGTCATTCGTTCTAATTGATCCTTTTTTGTTATTATTTTAAAGATTGGATATGTTAGTTGTAAAAATTACTCTATCAAACATTACACACAGGGAGTACTATTAAGGACTATTGAGCCTAGCAACTAAAGAGTCTTGTATTTGTCTTTGAACACTTTTGAAGTTAATATTTATTATATGAAAATATTACAATATTGAGTCATTACTAGACTAGTTGCTCTATTACTATTAATATTACATGTTATCTTGTTGGACTTTCTCTTAAAGGTGGATGGAACAGATCTGTTTCACTTTGTTGATAGACACACAACATGGGATGGTTACTTAACAGACATGGAACAAGATGGCACTTGGGGTGATCATGTGATTCTCTGGGCTGCAGCAAACTGTTATCAAATAGCCATTCATGTGATTAGTAGTCTTCCAGGCCATAGTGAGGTAATTATCAACCCAGATTGTCCATTTGACCAAAGCAAGCATCTTGTACTGGGACATGTCCATGAAGTACACTATGTCAGCCTTCAGCCCTTGCAAGGTAAGGCTTAGAACATAACACATTTAAAAATTGGCCTATCCGTGAATTTTGCAAACAAGATATTTCAAATGTTATAACTGAGTGCATTCTACAACTGTATTTTAGTCCTATACAGCTACAGGCCACACATGTCTATACGAATTACCATTTCATAAAAGCCTGTAGAGCTGACTGTTTTGATTTATCTGTGATGTAAACTTCTGCAGGCTGGTGCATGCAAATTATATAGTGAGGCAAGTTGTTGGTATTCCATTCATTTCATAATTCATCACCACATTGTGAGTAATCAGAAAAGTGTTAAATGTCAGTGAAATAATTTGTCATTGAGTGCCATTAACAGATGATGAACCAACTTTCTCAGAAGACAGGCAGAAAATAATGTTACTCGATTGTTAATACTGTAGGTAATGGTAATTAACTATGTTTTTTCTCTGTAGAGTTTTAAGTGCGGTTAAACTCTTTTTACCAGATGCCGTAGTAAAGATGTCCAGGCAAGCTTCAAATGAAAAGGTTACACGAAGTTCGTCCTCTGTTGTAACTCAGTCTGTGAAGCGCCCTAGAGGTAATTTCCATCCTAAGTCCTACAATCCAGCACTTTTTAAAACCTTTCACCTTTTTTTTTTTTCTTTTTTTTGCTATTAAAGAACAGCTATATGAACAAGCCTTCTGTTATCTTTGAAGGAGCCATTCGCTGCTCTTGCCATTTTCATCTCGGTGATTAAACTTTTTTTTACCAGATGCCGTAGTAAACAAGTGCAGGCTAGCTTCAAATGAAAAGGTTAAACAAAGTTCGTCTTCCGTTGCCGCTCAGTCTGTGAAGCGCCCTAAGCTGGAAATCCAGCGCTTTTTCAAAACTTTTCGTCCCTTTTTTTTTGCTATCAAAGAACAGCTTCATGAAGCCTGCAATCTTTGAAGGAGTCATTCGCTGCTCGATCGCGCCATTTTAATCTTGGTGATTAAACTTTTCTTAACTAGATGACGTAGTAAACAACTCCAAGCAAGCTTCAAATGAAAAGTTTAAACGAAGTTCCTCCTCCGCAGCCACTCAATCTGTGAAGCGCCTTAAAGGTAAACTTCTTCCGAAGTCTTACAACGCCATTGGTTGGAAATCCAGCGCTTTTTCAAAACTTTCCACCCTTTCTTTTTGCTATTAAAGAACAGCTGCATGAAGCCTGCACATAACAAGCCTTCTGTTATCTTTGAATGAGTCATTCGCTGCTCTTGCCATTTTAATCTCAGTGATTAACGTCAATGTTTATTCAAAGATATGTGCGTTCAAGAACGAAGTGTGTTGTTTACTTGCAGGTTCTGATCATTGTCTAGTTGTGGAACACCTTGAAGGTGAATACATCAGACGCTCCAATCTAAAACCACTGTGGGATAGCCGTATTCAACTACCTATTGATGAAGTCTACACCAGGTTGCAAATCAAATGGAGAAGGAAGGCGTGCTTTAAGCTAACAGAGGAGGAGGTTCACATGTACGAAATTTTCAAACCTGCTAGGGAGGGTGAAAAGGGCGCCAGAAGTGTACTTGTAGAAGGAAACCCTGGGATTGGGAAGACTACGTTTTGCCTTAAAATTGCGCGTGATTGGGCCAAAAAATTAGTACCAGTTGAGTTTCATTTCCCCATGTTTCATTGGGTGTTCCTTCTTACATGCTGTGATATTCACAAAGATATTAAAGACATAGTACAAGCCATCGATGAGCAACTTCTGCATGATGACATGAAAAATAAAAAACGTTTTTTGAATTACATCAGGGATGAAAGGAACCAGAACAAGATTCTAGTAATCTTAGATGGCCTTGATGAGTTACCAAAAGCATCAGAAAAAGTCGTAGATAGGCTATTTAGAAGAAAAGTTTTCTCGCGCTGTTTTATTTTGGCCACATCACGCGAAGAAAAAGGAATCGATGTCCGGCGGCGCTATGACTTTGATACACTTTTGCAGATTAAAGGGTTCACCTCAAAGGACGCTACAGATTACGTCAGAAAGCATTTTAAAAGCGTTGATCCACAAAATTTGTCAAAAGGCGAGAGGCTCATTGAAGCTGTTCAAACAAATACTCACCTAAGTGTGCTAAGAAGCAATCCGTTGAATCTACTTCTCTTGTGCGTTGTCTTTGAAGACTTTGAAGGGGAACTACCATCTAATCGCACTAAGCTTTATCAGATTATTTTTCGATGCTTGTTGAGGCGATATTGCTCCCGAAATGGCTTGAACGTTCATCGGAATGCCGACAAAGCCCTAGAGAATCAATTTAAAGAGTCCCTACTTGTGCTAGGGGAGTTAGCGTGGAATTGTCTTCGAGAAGACCGCCATTCGTTTTCGGAAGAGGAACTGGACAAGTTAGAACATTCGAGGACCCATGTGAGAAGATTTCCAGCTATCAAATTGGGCCTTGTTTTCATGGAAGCCAGTTCAAGGCCAAGTCAGGAACCAAGACATCAGTGTCATTTTCTTCACAAAACATTTCAAGAGTTTTTAGCTGCCTTTTACCTAGCGAACCAGTTGTCAAGAAGACAACTTAACCTTACTGATCATTCTGTTTTCCGCAAAGAAAGTATGTTAGGTAGATACAGAGAAGTATTTTTCTTTTTAGCTGGCATATTAGGCGTGGAAGGAAGGGTGTTTTTCAAAGAGATTGTAACGATTTTAAGAGAACACTTGCACTGGGACTACTTGGACGAAGTGTGTGAGTTCTTACTTAAGCTTTTAAAAGAGAGTGGTGCTGCAGACGATTTAGGCAAAGTTGCCTGCTCCCGTATTCCATTACCAAACGTTGTGAAGTTGGATCGGTTCCTGCAGCCTCTTTTGAAACTTATACGATATGTGTGCGAAGGCGCCATACTCGAAGGTGATGCGGCATCAGTGCAGCTAACTAAACTGAGCCTGTCGGACGTGCAGTTTTTCAGTAAAGACGATGTGAACGATCTCCATGGAATTCTCGGAAGCAGTCAAACTCTCACAGAGCTTGTCATTGGTAATATCGAGAACATGTCCCCTGATGATGCAGATCTGTTCGCTGAGAGTTTTTCGTCAAGCACGTCACTAAGAACAGCCACGCTAAAACTGTTTGACGTGAGTAGTGAGAGGTGCGCCAGTAATGTTAGTACCTTGTTATCGACTCTCTCGCAATTGGAATGTCTTTCGCTCGAAGTCTTTGGTGTTCTGAACAACACTGCTGCACAATCCGTGAAAGCGTTATTCAAATCATCGCTAATTTCTCTCGTGCTTATTGTTCATGGGGATCAGAATGACTGTTTAATGTCGACTGTTAGTGAAGGACTTGCAGATGAAACCGCGGTAAAGTCTCTTAGTCTTGTCGTTTATGGAAGAGTTAGCAACCCTGGAATCGTAGCACTGCAGAAAGGTGTTCTGCGAAATAGAACTTTGCACTCTTTAGAGTTAAAGGTTTACGGAGATATCCCAGATGCGTGGATGGCAGCTGTTGCTACCGTACTGGCAGCCAATAAGTCATGGAAGTCTCTTATTATTCATCCAAATGTGTGCGGGAAAATTAAATATGAAGCAGGTTTGCTGCCCTATCCTATTCTAGGTGATGCCCCACTAGAGAAGTTATTAACCGTGAACGTCTGTGGTGAACTGAGCGTTCACAGCTTAAAAGCCCTTACAGAGTTTTTCAAGGAAAGTTCGCCACTATCTGGTTTGCAGTTGAATGTCCAAAGTAAACAAAGCAATGAAGTCGTGGATTGTCTAGTAGACTATTTTCTGACTAACAATTCACTGTCCTCACACAGTATTATTAACCTTAGTGGTGAAATCAGAAGCTACGAAGGAACTGCTCTTCAGAGATTAGTTCAAGAGGGTCAAAAGCATTCTGTCTCAGTGCACTTGAATGGTCTTGATGAGGATCACTTTTTAAGTGGTGTTTATACTCTCGCCAATTTTTCGTCAGCGTCGGCCGCGTTTTTAGTTGATGGAAAGACTGCCACATACCTTGAAGTCATCAAACTATTAAGCTCTGCGACAACATCCTCGTTCAATCTCACAGTTAATCATCACGCTGCTGTGAGGGAAGACTGGGCAAAGGGTGTGGGTAGCGGCTTGGCGAACAGTCTCACAGGTAACAATTACGCTGAAGACATCACGGGAGACTGGGCCAGCCGTGTGGGTGATGGTTTGGCGAACAGCAGATCACTAACTACATTCAGTCTCACAGTTACCAATCACCCTGAAGACATCTTGGGATTCTGGGCCATCCGTGTGGGTAATGGTTTGGCGAAGAGCAGATCACTAACTACATTCAGTCTCACAGTTAACAATCACGCTGCAGACTTGGGACTCTGGGCCTTCAGTGTGCGTGATGGTTTGGCGAACAGCAGATCACTAACTACATTCAGTCTCACAGTTAACAATTACGCTGAAGACATCACGGGAGACTGGGCCAGCGGTGTGGGTAATGGTTTGGCGAAGAGCAGATCACTAACTACATTCAGTCTCACAGTTAACAATCACGCTGAAGACATGGGACTCTGGGCCAGCGGTGTGGGTGATGGTTTGGCGAACAGCAGATCACTAACTACATTCAGTCTCACAGTTAACAATCACGCTGAAGACATCACGGGAGACTGGGCCAGCGGTGTGGGTGATGGTTTGGCGAACAGCAGATCACTAACTACATTCAGTCTCACAGTTAACAATGACGCTGAAGACATCACGGGAGACTGGGCCAGCGGTGTGGGTGATGGTTTGGCGAACAGCAGATCACTAACTACATTCAGTCTCACAGTTAACAATCACGCTAAAGACATGGGACGCTGGGTCAGCGGTGTGTGTAATGGTTTGGCGAAGAGCAGATCACTAACTACATTCAGTCTCACAGTTAACAATCACGCTGAAGACATGGGACTCTGGGCCAGCCGTGTGGGTGATGGTTTGGCGAACAGCAGATCATTAACTACATTCAGTCTCACCGTTAACAATCACGCGGGCGAAATAGGTCGCTGGACGAACGACTTAAGCAAGGGCTTGGTAGAGAGCGGTTCTTTAACCACGATAAGAGTAGCATTTAACTTGTACGGTGAGGACAGAATTCGCTAGATGTTTAGCCAGTCTCTCTCCCATCCATTTTTTCCCTTTCTATTGAATGCGTGGATAGAACTTCATAGAGCTAGAAATTAGGAATAAGGACACAGTTGAAGAGAAACAACCGTGTTAAAATTCGTTTTATTTGTCGGTAGAGACTAAGAAGTTTACTAAAATTTTTGGTCGGGACACAAGAATTCAAACACTTAACATACTTTTCTTCGTCTTATGCTTAGCAGTGTTGTTGGTGAAATGTATTTGCTTGTACATGAACGAGGTCATTTGTAGTTGGTGTTGAAACTGGCACTTGTTCTTGCTAGTTTTACTCTTTTCACAGTCTGAGCCAGTTTGGCAAATTTTTCGTTCGAACCAGCAGTATACATTAATCTATAGCTGACAAAAAAGACAGAAGAACATCGGTCCGCAAACATGAATTAGAAACACGGCCCTTTGCGCCTTTTAACGCGAGGAGTGCGTATGATATTGGTTAGAAACGAACTTGTAGATCTGATGCGTTGAAAATACCAGAATACCGGGATGAAAATGAAACCGAGGTTGCTGAACATTGTAGTTTTATTACGCTACTGGTACAGTTTTAGTGATCTTTTTTATTTACTGTTGTGAACGTTTTGTAAGATGAGCCTAAAGGTAGATGCGCTGTATCAAATTTTCTGTGAATTAAAGTTACTTTAAAATTTATTCATTTTTAACTGGTTTCTCTTTAACTGGCTCCAAAGATTTGCTTATCCCGCCTATTTCCCGACCCAAACAACCATTTAGTAATAGGCACATCTCAAGAATAGCAACCGATATTGATGATGAACTGTGATGTTAACTACTTTTCCATTTACACCAAAACCCTGTAGTCCCCCCCACCCCCCTTCAGGAGCCCAATACCCTGGGGGGGGACCGATATTGATGATGAACTGTGATGTTAACTACTTTTCCATTTACACCAAAACCCTGTAGCCCCCCCCCCACACCCCCCTTCAGGGGCCCAATACCCTGGGGGGGGACCGATATTGATGATGAACTGTGATGTTAACTACTTTTCCATTTACACCAAAACCCTGTAGCCCCCCCGAACCCCCTTCAGGGGCCCAATACCCTGGGGGGGACCGATATTGATGATGAACTGTGATGTTAACTACTTTTCCATTTACACCAAAACCCTGTAGTCCCCCCCACCCCCTTCAGGGGCCCAATACCTTGGGGGGGGGGACCGATGTTGATGATGAACTGTGATGTTAACTACTTTTCCATTTACACCAAAACCCTGTAGCCCCCCCCCCCCCACCCCCCTTCAGGGGCCCAATACCCTGGGGGGGGAACGTTGTCTTGTTCGCAGCTTATGCAAATATTCTGGCTTAAGCAAACAAAAAGATGAAAGAAGACGGTTGAGAGTTTAATTTTTCTCGTTTTCGCTTTTTCCGTTAGTTAATGTAATCGCATGGGTCCGAGGGCAATTCAAGATTAATTTCGTTTGTATTTTCGGGGTTTTCCCAAAATTACCCGAGTCGCGATGCGACAAGGGCAATTTGGGAAAACTTGGAAACTACAAGTGAAATAAATCCTGAATCGTCCGAGGGCACTTGCGTTTACTTGTTTATCACATAAAAGGCAAATTTTTGAGGTAGTTGCATTCGCGCACGCTGTTGGCGCGCGATGAAGCCCTTCAGTGTCGCCACAAATGTCAAAACAAACGTAATCTAAGATTCAATAAACATTTTATTCCCAAAATACGCTTTACAACGTTACGCGGCTTTATTCAGTTAAATTGCAATCAATCGTTAACGCAAATAGTAAATAGTCGCAATCAGCATCAAGTAAGTATCCCTCTTGATTACCAAAACTGCCCTTGTGATTGAGAAAAATGCTATATGTCTCAGCCAATCAGCATTCAGTAATTTTGCCCCGCATGTGATAAGCTCGCTATCAACGGCGCGTGTTACTGCTTAGGCTAAGGCGTTTAAGTCAACTTTACTAAATAAAAAAAATTTAAAATTAAAAAAAAGCGTTCTTTCTCCCCTTTCTTTTTATTTTCAGGTTATCTATTTGTTTTATACTGTCTCGAAGAATTCTCTGGCCACAATAACGCAAATATTTCGCAAGCCTCGAGTGTCCCAAGATCAAGGAATTGGTTCTATCTAATACCATACCTTTATTTACTGCTAGCCGCGAGAATTTATGTTAGTTGGACCGTGCGGAGTTCAATTCGGTTTTAAGTCAAACGTGTGATTAAAAGTGGGATTTAGATTTGATACTCACGAGTGTGAGTCCCAATAGAATGGGACGATACAAAGTGTTGTTTCCAATTAATCAAACCTATGAAGAAATTAAGGAACCAAAATACTCATCCGTTTAACATTTTCATCGATGGAAACATAACAGTTGACTTTTTCCGAAGAAACTGTACCCAAAAGTTAAACATTTTCGAGAAACTGCACCCAGAAGTCTGTGTACCAGCGCGCAGGTAGCAGGAATTGTGCAGTGACACAAGCATGACCTTTAAACTGTCCTATCAAACTGTCCAGTCACAAGCATGATGGGTACACTGTTCCATTTGTGTTCCAATTGTATTGCTGATAGTCAATCACGTTCAAGAGATTTTTGATATGTGAGATAAATTACTCCATGATTAATCATGCGAGAAAATGGGCTGGCTGTGCATCAGCACTAAAATGGGCTGGCTGTGCATCAGCACTAAAATGGGCTGGCTGTGCATCAGCACTAAAATGGGATATACTGCTGTTCTTTTTATCTCGAAAGATACATGTTCGCATTGTGAGATGCTAAATAAGAAAAGGTTCAAAAGTGCCGCACCAAAGTTCTTTTAGAACAACGATAAGTGTAAATTAGTCAAGCTGGACTCACTTGACAACATAGAATTAGCACCACTCCTAATGAATGCAAAGGAGGATCGGCCAGATTTAGTAAGCACTGCTATTCCAATGGGTGTACCACCGAACAATCGTTGCAATCGAGTATGGTAAAGAGATTGACAAGTGGTTTCCGATTGTACTCCTAAACTACCGCTTCGAGGGGTTCCCCGCAGATATTCAAACCAGATCAACACGGAAACCGAAAGGATTCTTCGTCTGTTCCGTATGTTTGAACAAAGCAAAGCACCAAGTCAAAGCTGGCACGTAACGTAGGTGATGGAAAAACAGGTCCTAAACGCACCCTATTCAATACCGTTCAATCTCGATGACCTGAGAAACAAAACATGTAGTTCTGTAATGCAACAACTTGGCCTTGGCGAGGATTCCTACAGCCAGAATATCCCAGAGTCCGTAAACTTTATGATCAAAGACGGGGTGATTTTTTTGCCGAGTGAAGTAGACAGGTTTATTGTTTCCCTTCAAGACCTGGTTCAGTCATTTTAAACTGAGGAAGAGCTGACTTGGTTTGGACTATCAGATACGTGGGCAGTTAAAGAGGAATTTAAATGTACTTTTTACAGCCGTAACAATATCTGCTGCCACACTGTAACTGTAGCATGGAAAACGGGTACTCTGTCCAGGGTGTTAGAAACCTACATGGGTAGAAATATGAACAGCATAAGCATCTCCACGGTCTCCTCTTCAGTCGGAAAGAAAAAATCAGCAGCCGGTTTCAAACGGAATTAGTATAACGTTTTTTTTTTATCTTAAAACTGTAGAGATTCTTTTCAGGAATTCAGAAAGCAACACCTCTCATGACTAAAAATAAGTCAAGAGGTAGCGGATAGAGGAGGAACTGGGACTACTATTATAAGAACTTCTGTAGGGGTACAGAATGTGGATTGTGTTGTCCCATTTCAATCAGTTTGCTGCTCCTTAGAGATTGTGTTTTATCTACGCATTAATCAGATTTATTCCTATACAAGCTAAGCGAGTTTAATTACTTTGAATCATAGGAAAAGCAATTCTCTAGCGCTCGTTAGTTGTGACATCGCCCAACGGGAAGTCCGCTCGTAAACATCGCGACTCATCTGGATTAGTCCCCTCATCAATTCACGAGCACCCAGCTAAGCTAATAATTACCAATTTTGTTTGGTGTAAAATAATATACAAATTTAGTTACCTTGTGGATCCTTAGAATTCTGATACCTTTATTCTATACCACCAGTGGTCGCCTTCACTATTATGTTTACCGAAAAGAATAAAACGGTGGACGTTTGTTGAACTAGAGCGTGACCTGGACACTAGTAAGCTGTCGTACAACTTCCGGGTTCTTGCGTCTCTATTCGATCTGCGTGATTATCTACATATTCCAAAGGAAACAGTTTTTTTTACGTGGAGGCGAATAAGAAAATTGAAACTCTTTGCATTTACCATTTTAGAGTTGCCTCTCGTTTTTTGGAAAGAGAACTAACACTTTCAATAAAACGAGGAGATCGCGATTATCTTCCGCCATCTTGGAAATTTAAAGGTGAGCCTATGTAAATGTTGTTTCTTCTTTATGCTTAAGTCGGCCATATTATTATTTTCATAATATTTCCAGTGAATTTTAGAGGGGGTCAGTGAGGTGGGGTTAGTGGGGGATCGTTTTGGAACCACTCTTTCCTAATAGACTAATCCTGTTGGAAAAACAAATAAGCCTGGCATAACTGTTCTCTCTTATTAGCATACATGTAGAAGGCCTATGCGATCAGGTCACATTTAGTGAACTTTCTTAATCTCAGTTGTATTTTGTTTGATATCTTGGGGTGATTTCTCCGCACCAAATGAGTTTTGTTCACTTCCTTACGTATTTCAACAGAGGACTGAAATATTTGGGTGGACATTAGCAGTTAGACTTGAGTTTTTAAGAATAGCTATTGAAAACTATTCCTTTACATTTTTATAAGATACCACAGTATGTTACAAAAGGGGCTAACACCCCTTTTGTAAGATACTGTGGTGTCTTGCAAGAGCGCCCAACTTGCACTTACATGCATTTTTTTCTGTTACCTGCTGTGAAGTTGAATTAATTTAGGGCACTAATTATCTTTCAATTAACCCTTTAACTCCCAGAAGTGATGAACATGTAACTTCTTCTCTATGATATCCATACATTATCTAGCAAACAGGTAATGAGAATACTCATACTTATCAGGTAGAAGTTGTAACCTTGATCTGAAGCCAAATTCTTGTAACTTATGTACAAGGAAATTTGTAGTAGCTAGAGGGGAGAATTAACAGTCCAATCTTGGGAGTTAAGGGTTAAAAAGGAAAAGATTTATTTTGCCTGTCTCTGGCAAGAGTGAGAATAAAAGCTAAATATCTGTCATGATGTTAGATCACCAAAATAGTGTGTCAATAGATATGAGACAGCTCTCTTGGGAGTTCATCTTTATTTACAGTAATCCTGAAAAAAAAAGAAAACTACACAAAAGATCAGTACCCAAGGGTTAATTTTTTTGATGATGAACAAATTTCTGAAGTCCATCTTCATAGAAAAATTTGCGTGATGCAAAATGATTAAACTGTACCATCATGGCATGTGATATTATCTGTTACTGAAAATGGAAGACCTAAATCTATAAAACCCTGCCATTATGGTTTTTTTTCTTGTAATCAAAACATTGTTTCCTTGCTGTTCTCTGTAAAAATCAATCTTTTTTCAGGCTTTTTTTGGGGGGCCAGTAAAAAATCCAAACAATCAGAATTTTCTAAATCCACAATGGTCTGGTTAAAGTAACACAAATCCTAAATCACTATTATCACTTTGAATCAGGGTTGTTATTGTAGATATCTGAACTGAGGCATCATAATTTTGGCAAGTGAGTGCTCAGTATTATCTGGGCCCTTTAACTCCCAAGATCTGATCATTAATTCTCCCCTCTAGCTGCTCTACATTTCCTTGTAAGTTAGTTATGAGAATTTAGTGTTATATATCAAGATAACAACTTCTACCTGATAAGTTGGAGTTTTCTCAATACCTTTGTGAGACAATGTATGGATATGATAGGGAGAAGTTACAAGTTAATCACTCTGGGGAGTTGAAGGGTTAATGAAAATTAATGCCAACATCTTTGATTTTAATGGCAGCAGAAGGCTGGGAAAAGAAAGAAATTTCCAAGGGGGCAGTCAATGGTCAAAAATAAGAAGATGGGTGGGGGAGTGAAGATTACGTCTGCCTGAGATTCATGTTGTTTTGTGAATCTCCATTTGCCCAAGAACAGTCAGTTCCTGATTGGTGCAGTAATAAGCTCTAGCTGTCAATCACAAGCCAAATGTGTCATTTGGACATTAAATTGCTCTCGAGGAAAAATGTGAAAGATGGCAAATTCTGTAAATGGTGAAGTTGTTAGTTTCGATTCCACATGTAAAGAAGCACTTAAGGAGCACTTAAGAAGCACTTTCAAATTTTTGATATGTCTCATACTCTCAAATCAGAACCAAAAACCGCAATTTCTACACTGGTTTCTGGAAAGGATCTTAACTGGCCATGTTGCCAACTGTCTTTGGGAAAAGCTTGATATAATTTTTTTGATCTTAAGGTGTTGGTTCGCATGAAAGAAATTTTGACAGAGAAACCTTCAAGTGTAGTTGTTGTTTGTCTGCTTCAACATATTGTTTATATTCAAATCGAATAAGTATCTTTGATCGGATTAACAGTAGCTGGGCTCACAGATTGTCATTTGGAGATTATAGAGTGTGCAAATATCTACTCCTATTTGCATCAGTAGAGAATGTCTCAGTGAAGCCATTTTTTCTGTTGATTAAAAAAGAAAAAAGGCCAGTACATCAAAGTATGCTAGTTTGCATAAAAAAAATTATGGCAGGTAAACCTTCAAGTGCAGTTGTTTGTTGCCTCAAAATATTGTTTAATACAATCAAATGAAAAAATTGTCATATTGATTAATAGCAGCTATACTCAAGGATCATTGGAAAATATAGAGTGTGGGATATATCAGCTCGTATTTGTGACTGATTGAGCAGGTTTTGTCGAAGATATTTCTTTCCTGGTTGAAAAAAACTCCCTCACCACAGTGCCTTGGGTTTTTAATTTGACTCTTTGATTGGTTGCCCGCTCATTTCCAGAAATGCAGTGACACAAAACTAACCAAGGGTGTTTTGCTTTTCAACAGCCTCACCAGGCAGGCATCTTCTTGCCCTTGCCCTTCCCCCTGCCCCCTACCCCACTGTCCACTCTAACTCCAAATCAAACATGGCCAGTCATATGAACAATGCCAAGCTTATAACATTAGCTTGCCCTAAAAGGAAACCTGCACTGCAGACTAAATTGTGCTTCCATACATGTAACAAGCATGGCATGTTGCAAAGGGAAATACCCTTTTAAAGGGGTCCAGGGCATGCTCCCCTGAGAAAATTTGATATTTGAAACTCTCTGAAAAATGATTTCTAGGGTTTTGGGGAACATTTGAGTGACTTTTTTTTTCGCTAGACATTGATGGTAGAAACATGTTGAAAAATATTTATTTTCTGTCTTTGATCACATTTCACAAAGATGCCAGTGCTAAATTGTCTGGTCTTTTGACAATCCTGTTGAATTGAAAATATCATTACACGGTATCCTTCATTGCTTGTGATTTGTCTTTATTCACACCAATGAAACTTTATTCTAGGAATCATGACTGATCTTGGTGTAGCCTCTACATCACAGGAAAGCCCAAGTTTAATGGAAAGTAAAAAGCTAATTATTACTCTGTTGAGTGATGAATGGAGATCATCCATAGGAGACCGGTCAACTCTTATCAGGGAGCTGGCAATTCAGTTTGCAAAACATCCCTATGTTGATGTCAGTGTATATCTTCCAAGGTGTAGTGATGAGGACAGGAGAGATGCCAAAAGCCATAATGTTCAGCTGATTGAAGCCCGAGAATTGCCTGGTTATAAGCCAATTGATTGGTTGGCTTCTTTACCCAATGGCCATCATCCACACTATGTTGTAGGAAATGGAGTGTGTCTGGGTCGACTGATATCACATATTCAAAGGCAGCGACCTCACAAGTGGATCCAGGTTGTTCACACACCTTATGAAGAAATTGGAATGTTCAAAAGTTATGAACAAGGAGCCATTTCTCGAGGTGAGAAGAAACAGCGTGCAGAAGTAAAACTTTGTGAGTTAGCTGATGAGGTGGTTGCAATTGGTCCAAAGCTGGCAAATGCCTACACTCACCACCTTCGCCTTTGCAAAAAAAATCAGCCTATATTCAACCTCACCCCAGGTATTTTTGTTGAGTTATGTAAGGTTGAACAGGCTTTAGAGGAAGGGAAGAACTTTTGTGTTCTACTTCTTGGGTGTGGTGACCATGAAGATTTTGAGCTAAAAGGATATGATATCGCAGTGAAAGCAATTGCCCAATTGAAAGACAAGTCATACCAACTAAAGTTTGCTGGTGCACCCAAAGGAAAAGAGGAAGAAGTGGCAAGTAAGTTGTGTCAGTATGGCATTCCTCGTAGTCAACTAACTGTTCGCTGCTTCAAAGAAGATCGAGAACAGCTAGCCAATTTATTATGTGAGGCTGATCTGGCAATCATGCCTTCAAGAACTGAAGGTTTTGGTTTGAAGGGGCTGGAAGCCCTATCTGCTGGTCTGCCTGTCCTTGTAAGTGGTAACTCTGGACTTGGAGAGGCATTGGAAAAAGTTCCTGGTGGTTCCCTGTGTGTAATTCATTCAGAGAATCCTAAAAACTGGGCTGCTGTCATCAGAGCCGTCCGTCAGAAAAATAGGACTCTGCGACTTGAAGAAGCCACCGAACTTCGAGAACAGTATGAAAAAAAGTACAGCTGGCAAAGACAGTGTGGAAGTCTTCTTGAGAAAATGAAAAATCCTGTATCTGGTGAGAGCTATGTTACATACACCTTCTTAGGGACAGGTTTTTTTCTATCTTGATCCAATTAATGTAGTTACAACAGCAAGGTGTTTATGTGTACTTCGGTTCATTGCTCTTGTTTGTGTGATCATTTACATCTATTACCTGCTTGTAAAAGCTGTTGGAAGTATGGATAGTCATTAGCAAATCAGGGTTGAGAAGTTCTTGATATACTCCATAATTATGTACATGTATATTTACTTGTATGATGAGGAAAATACAGTTTCCTCCTTAAGTTTCTATAATTGAATTATTATTACCTGAAAGTAAATAAGGATCAGATTTTTTGCATAATTTGGATGTAACATGCTTCTGTTTCTCAAATGTGTAGGTGTACAGTCACAATATACATGCACCTCATTTGAAATTTATAATGTGTTATTCTTCTTGTGCATACTTGTAGTTGATCCTGTCACTCGGCAACCATTGGAAGAAATGGCATCAGCATCTGAAGAAAATGAATCCTCAACCACTGTAGTAGTTCAACATGAAGGTAAGCAACTGCCTCTTCTTAGACAGCTTATTGTGCTCCTTTAAACAGGAGCATGATAACAGGGATGCACGAGTGGCAGAAAATAGCTTGAGAAAGGATTTATTTTTTTCAGTGAAAGATTAACAGTGAGCAGTGAACCAGGCACTGTGAACTCTGGTGCAGAACTGCAAAAGCTGGGTAGGAACCGTAAACCTGTGGAGTTTCACTGTACAGGCCCCACTTTTTTCCAAACAAATTTTGTGCAAATTGGGGGTGCAGCCTATACAAGGTATAGCTTAAATCTTTATCCCAGTTTCCCTCTTTCATCGAGAGGCAAGCTATGTTTGCTTGTGTCCTTGATCAAATATGCAACTTCACGCGATCATTACTGAGGAGATAAAACAAAATGTTAGTGTACATGGAATACAAATCTAGCAAAAATTACCCAGGTATCTTTTCTTTTACATTTTCTTAACTTTAAGACCATTTTAAAGATATGACTAGCCATTGTTGTTTGCATTTGCAATGTTTATTCGACCAATAACATGCTATGTTAGATTATTTATCGTGATGAATTTTGTGATATAAACAAATATATCTTGGCAGTATGCAGCACTCGCCAGGCCTTTTTCCCTTTCCAGAAAACCTTAAATTATTTTTTTTCAAGAAAATATGGCCAAAATTTGGGGTGCAGCTTATACACGAGTGTGGCTTATACACGTGTGAATATGGTAGGTTACAAATATGCAAATGAGGAATATCTGTACTTGGACACTAAGCTTTTGAAAACATATCACTGTTATTAGCATGACAGTTTTGAATTCTTGACAGTCAATTTTTTTGTGAGTTGAGCTTATTTTAAAAAAAATAGCAATAAATTGTGAAATTCTTGGAAACATTTTAGTATACTTTTTGCAAACAGTTGACCAACTGTCAGTGTCGATTAGAGCTATTCTTCCTAATGGGATGTGCTGTGTTTGATGGAGTTTATAGCTTTCTTCCAAATCACTCTCTATCAAAGGGGACATTAAACTTCTTCACCTGGCTATATTATTATTATTATTAAAAGACTATATACATTGCATATGGTCTATTCTGTTGAAGATAACAACAAATGTTTTTTTTTAACCTGTGAGGAAAGTCCATTCAATGAGAGACTGCTTAATTTCTGCACATGTATAATTTATTCGAGAGAGCTGGTATATGAGTGGAAATAAGTGTGGAAATTCTATAGTGGTATTCCATTCATTTCATAATTCAATAACATATTGTAGGTAATCAGAAAAGTGTTTTTGGAGTGAAATAATTTGTCATTGAGTAACATTTAGAGATAGATGAACCAACCTCCTCAGAAAACAAGTAGAAAACAATGTTACTCAATTGTTAATACTGTTGGTAATGGTAATTAACTATGTTTTTTAACTTTCGAGTTTTAAGTGTGGTTAAACTTTTTTTACCAGATGCCGAAGTAAACAAGTCCAGGCGAGCTTCAAATGAAAAGGTTAAAAGTTCATCCTCTGTTGCCACTCAGTCTGTGAAACGCCCTAAAGGTAAATTTCATCTTAAGTCCTACAACGCCATTGGCTGGAAATCCAGCGCTTTTTCAAAACTTTCCACCCTCTTATTTGCTATTAAAGAACAGCTGCATGAAGCCTGCATATAACAAGCCCTCTGTTATCTTTGAAAAAGTCATTCGCTGCTCTTTCCATTTTAATCTCAGTGATTTAACTTTTTTTTACCAGATTCCGTCGTAAACAAGTCCAGGCAAGCTTCAGATGAAAAGGTTAAAAAAAGTTCGTCTTCTGTTGCCACTCAATCTGTGAAGCGCCCTAAAGGTAAATTTCATTTTAAGTCCTACAAAGCCATTGGCTGGAAATCCAGCGCTTTTTCAAAATTTTCAACTTTTTTTTTTTGCTATTTAAGAACACCTGCATGAAGCCTGCGTATAACAAGCCTTCTGATCTCTTTAAAGGAGTCATTCGCTGCTCTTTCCATTTTAATCTCGGTGATTTAACCTTTTTTTTTTACCAGATGCCGCAGTAAACAAGTCCAGGCAAGCTTCAAATGAAAAAGTTAAACGACGTTCGTCCTCCGCAGCCACTCAATCTGTGAAGCGCCCTAAAGGTAAATTTCATCCTAAGTCCAACAACGCCATTGGTTAGAAATCCAGCCTAAACGCTTTTTCAAAACTTTCCACCCTTTCTTTTTGCTATTAAAGAACAGCTGCATGAAGCCTGCATATAACAAGCCCTCTGTTATCTTTGAAGGAGTCATTCGCTGCTCTTGCCATTTTAATCTCGGTGGTTTAACTTTTTTTTCACCAGATTCCGTGGTAAACAAGTCCAGGCCAGCTTCAAATGAAAAGGTTAAGCGAAGTTCGTCCTCCGCAGCCACTCAATCTGCGAAGCGCCTTAAAGGTATACTTCATTCTGATGGTTTGGCGAAGAGCACATCATTCACTACATTCAGTCTCACTGAGAACAATCACGCTGGATTCTTGGGAGACTGGGCCAGCAGTGTGGGTGACGGTTTGGCGAACAACAAATCATTGACTACATTCAGTCTCACAGTTAACAATCACGGTGCTCTGAGGGAAGACTGGGCCATCCGTATGGGTGATGGTTTGGCGAACAACAGATCATTAACTACATTCAGTCTCACAGTTAACAATCACGCTGTAGACATGGGATACTGGGCCATCAGTGTGGGTGATGGTTTGGCGAAGAGCAGATCATTAACTACTTTCAGTCTCACAGTTAACAATCACGCTGAATTCTTGGGAAACTGGGCCAGCGGTGTGGCTGATGGTTTGGCGAACAGCAGATCATTGACTACATTCAGTCTCACGGTTAACAATCACGCTACTATGAGGGAAGACTGGGCCATAAGTATGGGTGATGTTTTGGCGAAGAGCAGATCATTAACTACATTTAGTCTCACAGTTAACAATCATGCTGAAGACATAGGAATCTGGGCCAGCAGTGTGGGTGATGGTTTAGCCACAGGCAGCCCAAGCTCATGTCTCGAGAAAAAGCCAACGATTAATTAATGAAAGCGTCACGCGTTGTGTGACTCGATGTTAGGTTACGAGAGGAACCGTTGAAAATTTGACACGTTATAAGGAATAGTATGGGGAACGAGACATGGTCGCTTTACAACGATAGATATTTCGAAAGATGAACATTTTACACCTAAAATCAATCAAACTTATTCACATCCTGTGTGTTTGTTGTAGTTTCCGGCGATTTCTGCCGTTTAAGCTTGCTTTACCATCACTGGTATTCATGAATAACAGTTGTAAAGTGACCATATCTCGTTCCCCATACTATTCCTTGTAACGTGTTAAAATTTGCAACGGTTCCTCTTGTAACTTAACACCGAGTCACACATCGCGTGACGCTTTCATGAATTAATCGTTGGCTTTTTCTCGAGAAGTGAGCTTGGGTCGCCTGTGGTCGTACATTTAACAATCACGCTGACACGATGGGATACTGGACCAGCGGTGTGGGTGATGGCTTGGCGAAAAGCAGATGATTGATCACATCCAGTCTCACCATGAACAATCACGCGGGCGAAGTAGGACAGTGGACGAACGATTTTAAGCAAGGCCTTGGCAGTGAACGATTCTTTAACCTTGTATGATGAGGACAGAATTCGCTAGACGTTTAGCCAGTCTCGATTCCCTCCATTTTTTCTCTTTCTATCGAGTGCGTGAATAGAACGACGTAGAGCTAGAAATTATGATAAGGACACAATAGAAGAAAAACAACCGTGTTAAAATTCCTTTTATTTGTCGGTAGAGACTGTAAGAAGTTTACTAAAAAATTTTTGTTCTGGAGGCAAGAATTCGAACGATTAACATGGTTTTTGTCCCCTTATACTTATCAGTGTTGTTAGTGAAATGTATTTGCTCGTACATGAATGAGGTCAAATTTAGTTGGTGTTGAGACTTGCACTTGCTCGTGCTAGTTTTACTCTTTGCACAATCTGTGTCAGGTTGGCAAATTTTTCTTTCGGACCAGCAGTATACATTAATCTATAGCTGACGAAAAAAGACAGAAAAACATCTGTTGGTAAACATGAATTAGAAACACGGCCTTTCGCGCCTTTTAATGGAAGGAGTGTGTATGATGTAGGTGAGAAACGAGCTCATATAACTGAAATACCGGGATGCCTACACAAAGAGAGCAGAGAAATGAAACCGAAGTTTCTGAACATTGTAATTTTATTACGCCACTGATACTGTTTCAGTGATTTTTTTACTGTTGTGAACGTTTTGTAGGATGAGCCTAAGTATAGATGGGCTATGTCAAATTTTTCGTGAACGGCAACAGCACTCGGCGAAAATGAACTGTGATGTTACCTACTTTTCCAGTTGTACCAAAACCCTATAGCTCCCCCCCCCCCCCATTGTGCAAATATTCTGGTCTAAGTAAACAAAAAGCGGCTAAAGACGGTTAAGAGTTAAATTTTTCCCGTTTTCGATTTTCCGGTAACGTCGTGATTGGTATATGTAATTGCGTAGGCCCTCTGGCAATTTAGGATTAATTTTACTTGTATTTTCAACGTTTTCCCAAAATTGTGCGGGTCGTGATGCGACGAGGGCAATACTGGGAAAAATTTGAAATGTGAAATTAATCCTGAATTGCCCAAGGGCACTTGCGATTACTTGTTTATCACATAAAGGGCAAACGTTTTAAGGGAATTCCATTCGTGCACGGTTTCCGCGCGGTGAAGCCCTTCAATGCCGCGACAAATGTCAAAACAAACGTAACTAACCAATAGATTCAATTATCAAGCCAACTGGGAGCTGATCATTATGTTGGTTCTCCAAGTGGTGAATAAATGACTGCAAATATATGAAAATCATACATATATATGTGAACTGTGGTTGAAGAAACGAATATGAAAGCGATCCTCACAGTTATGAATACTACTTAACCAGTAGTGTAAATAAGGCCTGAAAACAATTCAAGCCCGTAAGGGATTTGAACCCATGACCTCTACGACGACACCGGTGCAACGCTCTACCAACTGAGCTTACAAGCCAACTGGGTTGCGGTCCTGCTGTGGTTAGATTGAAGGGCGTTTTTGTTAAGAGCGTAGATTAATCGCGCTTTGGTCTTAAAGTAGTCCGGAAAATCGCATCAAAATAAAGAGCAGAAATCAAGCCCAGCATTGTACTACAGGCTCATTTTTACCCCCGTGTAGTTTGTGACTACCCTGAGTGTAACCAAAAGTGAAAATCCTAGGTCTTCCCACCTAAAGTGGCCCCAAACCTTAAATACTCCATATTCCCAAGACCTAGGAATTGCTTTTATCTGATACCATTCTTTCTTTACTGCTAGTTGCGAGAATTTATGCCAGTTGGACCGTGCGGAGTTCAATTCGGTTTTAAATCAAACGTGTGATTTAAAGTGGGATTTAGATTTGATACTCGCGAGTGTAATTCCCAATAGAATAGGACGATACAACGTGTTGTTGCCAAATAATCAAAACTATGAAGAAATTCGAGAAGCAAAATACTCATCCGTCAAATATTTTCGTAGATGGAAACATAGCAGTTGACTTTTTACCACGAGAAACTGTACCCAGAAGTCTGTGTAACAGTGCGCAGGTAACGCGAATCGTTCAGTGACATGGGCATGACGTTTTAACTGTCCTATCAAACTGTCCAGTCACAAGCATGACGGGTACACTGTCCTATTTGTGCTCCAATTGTATTGCTGATAGCCAATCACGTTCATGAAATTTTTGATAGCTCTGGCGGAAAAGATAAGTCAAGGCAATAGGTTACAACTTTCTTCATTCTCATCAGTGGACTGACTGATTTGTGTGTCAAAAATGTGAGATAAATTACTCCATGATTAATCATGCGAGAAAATGGGGTGGCAGTGCATCAGCACTAAAATGGGCTGGCTGTGCTTCAGTACTAAAATGGGCTGGCTGTGCGTCAGCACTAAAATGGGCTGGCTGTGCATCAGCACTAAAATGGGCTGGCTGTGCATCAGCACTAAAATGGGAACACTGCTGTTCATGTTATCTCAAAAGATACATGTTCGCATTGTGGGATGCTGAATAAGAAGAGAAATAATCACTTCGGGGAAAACGCATTAAATTTATTTGCACAGTGCTGCGCTGATATTATCATTAAAGTACATCGTAAAATTTGTTGTTCTTATAATCGTAGCAGTGGTTTTCAGCTTCACATTGTTTAGCTGACACGCGCAGATACTTTATCTTGGCTCCCCTGTACTGATAACACACCGAATCTAGCAAATAAAAATGACACAATGAGCAAAGCAGTTGCTGCGTGGTCAACCTGACATGCACGCGTTTGTTGTGAGAACTTTTCAAGTTTAGAATATAAACTGCTTTCAGAGCTCTTAAATGAGCTTTCAGTGTTTAAGCAAAGCACAGCGGCATTCGGCTTTCGATGCTAACAGCTCAAAAGGAGCCTCACTAATAATGATGGTTATAACTGCGTGATATTCAACTTATATAGGAGGGTAAATTTTACCAAGTCTTAAAGATGAAGGTTTCAAGCCCATCTAATTTCTCTCCTTCATAGAGATGGCTCTTAGATGATAATTTTCCTACCTTTGCTGTAATAGCATATGGCTGTCATCATATTGTGCCTTCGTGTATCCCACCCATCCGACCAAAAGCATCTATCTGGTTTGTTATCACAGTCCTCCTGACTGGTATGCCATGGTGCAGCCATAACTGACACCTGTAATACATACTCACCAGGAGTCACGCATCCGCTGGGTACTAAAAAGGGTAAAAATCATAATTTATACCAGTAAGATTTTCAAAGTACAGTATCCATTTACCTGGTTTTGTTAAAACACCCAATACCAGAGTGCTTTTCGTTTGAGTCAGTGTCACCCCCCACCCGCAAATAAATACAGATACTGTATGTGGGATACTGTATGTGGGATGCTTGTCACAAATTTAGGTGAGGAATGCTCTGGATCAACATCTAGTTCTCTGTAACTCAGTGGTAAAGCATGGGAGCATAAATCTGAAGGTCTGGGTTCCATTCCTATATTGTATTCCATTCCTATATTATAACGATCTGATCTACACCTGTAACTCCCTGCCCCCCACCCTCAAATAAGATAAAATAACATGAACTTCCGTAGAATTTGTGTTTATTTCATATTGGGCCATAGGAAGCAAAAAAAATGTATTTTTTAAGGTTTACCTCAAATGGTGACCTTCTGCAAAATGGCGGCTGTTCGTACATATGCAGCTAAAAAACGGAAATAATCAAAGGTTTATACTTCCCAAAATGTAGATATGGCTATATTATTTGAACTTTTCTCATTCCAAAAATTAATTTTCCTCCAAATATTTACTCAGATGATTTCAGGCGATAACAAATTAAGAAAACAAGAGTTGAGTGAACTTGACTTAAAAATAATTTTAAACGTCATGGAACTTTATCACAGAGCAACCGTTGAATTTTAATCATTAACAAACATTGCGCAATTTTTACAAACCCCTATCAAGGGTACACCCTCTATTAAGCAGACACTTGGGAATGTCCTGAGGGTGTCCACTTAATAGAGGTTTCACTGTACTATCATAATAGTAAACGTGATATTTGTGAATGTCCTTACTTTGTCAAGATATTCCTGGACCACAATCTGCTCGTGAGATAGGATTCTATCTCCATTTCACACCAGAGATATCCTAAAATTAGGACAGAACTACATGTATTAGTCATCAGATTCATCATGAAGGTACCAAAAGAAACTAGTTAGTATGCATGCATGTACATAATTATAAGTTGTCAAAAAAAATTCAATTTTCACTTAGATTAAAGCAGAAGGAAGCTTTAAATTCATGTACATGTGATGGAAGGCTTCACCAGTACCCCTGATTCACTGAAATATTTCAGGACAGTACCAACAACTGTGCAATAACAAATTGGATTAAGATTGTATATGTTAATAATATTATAGCACAGGGCTCAGTTGTTTCAAGGCTCATTAAAACTAGCCAGGGTTAAATTTTAATATGGTATTTTTTATTCCTTCATTCAATTATATTAAAATATCCCATATTTATTTCAGGGCATTCAATCATCAAATTTCAGGCAAAGAGAATTATTATAATACTGAATTTTCTTTTAAAGCTTTCAGATCTCAAATCAGATTTCACACTAACCCTGGGTGATATCTTAACTAGCTTTAAACAACCTAGCTCTGTACTTTTCAGATATTTTACAAGCACAGCGTGTTGGAAATTTAAGAAAAAAACAAAAAAAATTTAATTTTAATTAATAATGAATATATTGAAAATGATCGATGGTGAAATTCAAGATTTTAAATTTTTGTCAAACTTACCCATTTCCCATAGCTCCATTTGCTGGTTTAACAATGAAGGTTTTGGGTTTGTTTCTTTTTTTTCAGTTCTCTACAATATAGCCTTGAAATGCAGCATTACTGATACAGTGAGAATGGGCAGTAAGCTAAGGAAAGTAATTCACTTTAATGTAATTACACTGATGTGGTCATATGACGAAAAAAAAAATCATGGTGCTTTTCTTTTGATCCCTCTTACCAATTGTTATTATTATTATTATTATTATTATTATTATTATCTTTTTAATTATACCATCTTGTAGTCAACCTACATACAAGTACACATACTGTAGCAGTTGTGATCTGTAAAGAATGTATATTTGGATCAAACTATGCAATTATTACCACTAACTATTACAGTTACATCATATGAAACCAATGTAATTTCTATCATTCGAGGTTGAGCATTGCATTATTATAATTTTTAATATTTATTTAACATACCACAGTACTAAATCAAACACAGTCCCTGGCTACAGTTCCTGGAGATACAGTTTACTGTTAGCTGATGGACCATGAGCATTGATTCCAAAGTTTCTATCAATGCTTGCTTCTAAACTCAAGGTGAAGCACAGTATAATGCTGATTGTGCAGTCATCACAGTTATACAAAACATCAAACTGCATAAATCTCACTGACAAGAGATATTAGTTGATAAAGGATACTTGGCAGGGAGAACCCAAGTTTGTAGAACAAAACTGTATTCCTCTGCATGAGCTCTTAATTTGCATTCTGAAATTCCAAGATAAGATGTTAAAATACAATAATTATTGCATACTACAAGCAATTATTTAATATGATACTTGTAAACTTAAAAATGTGAATACCATTGCTCAGAATTGTTTAAGAGGGGTTTAATCAATGCTTGAAAATAAAAATAAACTTTTCCTGGCTGCTATCAAACAAAGTATTTGACATTCCCTACATTATCCTAAGGTCAGAGAATTATCTGCAAACTATGCAGAATTCCCCCACCCTATGTTGATGGCCTAAGCTATTTATTTTATTATTAAAAAGTGAATAATGTGCTGTAATTTCCAGTAACTTCTCCTACAAATAATAATACACCACTAACCAACTATCCATACTTGCTCTCAATGGAAGAGAGATAAAATACATGTATAAATATTGAGATCTCATGAGATACAGAAAATACATTTAAAACATTGCAAATCATAATTACAGCATGTATATTCACCAGTAATTAACTTCCATTTCAATCTACAAGTTTTAAATGTATTTAATATTGTTATACATTATGTAAGTATTACATGAAAATTTGACACCAAAACAAACTGATTAAACACTCACTTTGCCATATTCCAAGCTAGGTTATCCTTCCCACAAATCTCACCCATACTTGGAAAATGGTTGATTTTCTTTAGAGTGGAGACAAAACAGTAAGAATTAAATTATTCATTATTATAAAGGAAGTATTGAATAAATTTGTGAACATGTATATGTATAAGATACAGGCTATGTGAGTGTTTATTTCTTTGCATGAAGGTATCCTGTACACTGATTTGTCTAGATTCCCACAATATCACATCTTATATGGTCTACTCAGACAACTTAATTAGTAACAAAAATTTATCATACCTGAAATGATTTTAGTTCTATATTTTTTTCAACTGGCACTGATGAATCACTCCAAATGAGGAAACTGCATGTAGAGAAAGTCATTGTTGAAAAGAGAAAAATCATATCTATCAAATTGATTAAAAACTATGGCTTTTAAGATAGATGGATGTAAAAAAATAATCAGTGACTGACATTTTATTTGTACATGTAACACTACATCCTCCATCAGGTTACTTTGAAGCAAAATTATTTACATGTATAAAGTTTTCCTATCCCTGTTAACTCACCTGTTTGAGTCATCATCCCTTGTAATATACATTCCACATTGAAGACAAACTTTTCTAACTGCAAGGGAGAATTTTTATAATGAAAAAACATGGTTATGAGATAATTCCAAATTTCAGATATACAGTAATTCCTTGAAAAGTATCAGAAGCTGAATCCATACTCATATGAGTTATGATCTCACTTTGCTTTTGATTCACTCAACTACTTTTTCAGAAAATTTGCATCATCCTCTCCCCCAATCAGAAGTAAAACTAATTCAGTCCCAACTAATATCCCATTAAATGTCATTCCAATAATGCTTAAAAGCTTTTTCATGGGTGTTTTTTTTAAAACAGAGTTTAAATTCTTTTCTTCATAGAAGCTGCTTAAACAGATGTTAGTTAACTTAAAATTTAGTGCATTGAAATTAAAAGTTGGTGATTAGATGGATCCCATAGAAAATTAAGTTTTTCAGTTCTCTGTATCTGATTTTTATTCGATTATAAACCTCTTGTTTAACTTAACATGTTTTACTAGTGTGAATAGGATATAAATCAACTGCATTTTGTTGGGCTTTAGTCACCATCTTATTGTTGTGTTGTCAGTTCTTGGTGGTCCTAAGTGATATGTTCTTTTTTTTATGACTATAGCTATTGGGATTACTTTGGTTGTGATTACACTGATTGGAAAAGTGCTCTTTAAGTGATTTTGCTGTTGTAAAATTGTCCTTCTCATGGAGGGAACTTTACTTAGAAGGGCTTTCAAGACCTGGGGTTGGAGGGAGAGGGCTCCATTAAGAGAGATTACATTAACACATACATGTACATGTTCACAAACATGTGAAGAAAAGAATACATTTATTTTAACAAATAAGAAATGAATTTTTCCAAATGCACGTGCATACAGATCTAAATCAAATGAAGCCGATAAGTTTGTGATCCTTCAGGCTAGTTTGTGTCTGCAAGCTTATTTTAATTGCCTTAGTTATAACTAAGTCGACTCTTCAACGGTCCATTGTGGATGGTAACAGCCTACACCAAAAGTGGTGATTATCAACATTAAGTCCGTGGACGCGTGACTACAATGTAAACATGCATGATTGGCAACATAACGCTGAATATTTTTAAGCGTTAAAAATTTTGTATTAGTCTTGGTAGAAGAAATGTGCGTCTGATCAATACGCCTCAAAAATACTTCCTGAGTGCGCCTCACAGTCTAAGGACAAAGAAGCAATTAAGCTCTTTTGAAACCATGCCGACAACTTTAAACCACAGATTCAAAGAAACAATGGTGACGATTATTTTGCATCAAAAGATCAACGTTACCGTTGTTAGTTCCAATAATTAACGAGAGCGAAACGAAGCACGAAAACAAAGTTATCTATTGGTCGTACTTTAAACCTCAAAATATATGTGTAACGATGCGATACAACTGCACAAACATATCTTACACTTGTAACTTAGGTGATCTTCCACGTACACGAAGAACAAATGTCATCAATCTTCCTCTTGGAAGTATCACCACGTACATGTACCACTGAACCCAAACTAAATTGTAATTTTGACTTACCGACATCGTACTTTGTTGCAGCTAAATTGGCCGTTACACGGCGTTTCCTTTGAGGTTTCTTCTTCATAGAATTGTTTACAGTTTGCTTGCGAACATGGTTTGTTCGAGCCCGTACCATGCTTCTTGTCTGTTCCAAGCTTTCTTCACACTCGTCGGCCAAAGATGCCGCATACTCAATTTCCCTTCCTCGATTTTCACAAAAGTTGTCAGCAGTGCTTAAATCAAGTAATTTAAGGTTGTCTTTGGTCATGACAGACCTACTTTCATTGAAACCATGGCTGCTGTCTTCCATGGTTACAGAACCCAAAGGCGTTCGAGACGACGATGGAATCTCCGTGGTCAAATTGTCTGTGCTCATGATTATGCCGAAACTCGTCCTTTACATTCATTATGAACACATTGCAAGGCTGAAATAATAAAATCTGATGTCTCCTGGAAAGTGATTTGGTCGCAGACGAGAATTTGTGCGCCTGTATGCAGAACTTTTGTGTCAGTGAATTTCTATCACAAGTGTAGCGTGACAGAATTACCATAGCTACTGTAGCCTGCTTTCGAAACTGCATTGAACTCATTTACAACTTCCATATTTGGAAATAGGGGAGCCCCCCAACCCCCCACCTAAATTGCATTGCACTTCAACTCCACGCGCTATGTAGAGTTCGACTCCTTCGTCATATATCAAATCTCTGCTCAAAAATGGGATAAACAGTGTTTTCCAAGTACAACCGATTTGTAGTCTCCTTATGTTCATAACGGTTGTTCCATTTGTGACCGGAACGTCCTTTTCATCTTTTCAAATCGAAGGTAAGCTGTATTGCGGAATGTAGCGTGCTTACTGAAATGAAGTTATGATGTAGTTACGACACTAATTATTATACGTTTCCGATGTCGAAAGAATCATGCGATAATCAAAGGTAGCAACGTAGAACGTAATCAGTTTTTTCGTAATGCCGATTGATTTTGAAATACGCCTTGAATTAGAGAGGAATTTGACGATCATAAAGGAAGGAAGGAATTCGAGAATCATTTACCCGTAGTAGCTACAGTTTGATACTCCGCATAGTTTGCTTCTGTTTTCCATTATATTTGTTGATAGATCCTGAATAAGGTCGATGGTTTAGTCTTCGAACTCCAGAGCTACAACAAATTTTGACGTAATAACCATGACTACTACCTTCCAGCTGACTTGTGCGTGCCTTCCATACAGTTTATCAGAACGCCGTATTGCAAATCGAGTGTGCAGTACTTGCATTTTACCTGTACACACACTGCATGCTACTTAGAAGATCTCTTACATGTATTTTTTTCGTTTGCTTTTTTCAGCAGATTATGGTTGTGTTTGAGTTTAAGGGCTCAAAATTAAAGGTACTGCAAAGGCTTCCTGTGATGTCTAGGCTACAAGAGGTAGGCATGCTTTATGCAGATGATTGAATAAGCTCTTTATCAAATGGACTAGGTCATGCTGTAAGTGATTGCACTGAGTTCTACCAACTTGTCCCACAGACGTGTTAAGTTTCAGTATTCCTGCATTGTATTTGGCAACAAGCACTGCAATTAGCTACCAAAGCAAGTACTTGCAAGAGTTATGTACTACCTTCAAAGGACATGAACCTTGTGCTTTAATAACCCATCATCCCTCTCGAATATAACATTACGTCACGCGTAGCATCATATAGAGCATACATGACATCTCCATCTTTTTCCCTTTTTTTTTTGTAAGAAAAACCTGAACCTGTTTTGACATGGAATGTTTTTAATGTTCAATTAAAAAATATAAACACCACTGTCCATAGTTCGAGTGGTGACCTAAAGTTCATAGTCCTTAAGGTAAGCAAGCACCTTGACTAGTTGTTTGGAATGAATATGCACAGCCGGTTTCTGCACTTTTTTATGGGGTGATTCTGCAGAAGAGATTTGCTGGACATGCTAGAGTAGTATTAGTTGCTATGACTCTTTGGCTTTAGGGGTAGACTCTTTGGAGTTCGGCATTCATTTAGGTGTCTGTGATTTCTCTGATACTTCTGTACTTCTGGTGTTTGAACAATGGATGATTTGGGAGGGTGATGCTTACTGATTACTGTAGCTGGTACCCATTTGCTTCCATGTTGCAATGCAACCTTGTCACCATTGTTGAGGGCTGGAAGCTCTTTTCCACTGTGTTTGTCTGAGTAAACTTTCTCTTGCAGTTTTCTTTTTTTCAAAGTGTTCCTTGACTTCTTGGCCCCTGTGGGTTTTAACCCTTTCACCATACTAACTCAGAAAACCAGGATTCCATTTCAACTTCTGGAACATACTAAACTGCTTTTCTGAGATTTTGACCACTAAAGTTTGAGCAATAGGAAATTGGTCAGGAATCTTTTGGAGGGGGGTCTTACATATTGTGAATTGAAAATTAATATCAACACCACCATTCCATGTGCTTTCACATTGAGCTGCTCATAGAAAGTTTGGAAGTAAATGCACAGCAAAGATCTTTATCTGTTATTTCACGCCATTTTTAAAGTCCTACACATTCTATATTGAGCCCTGTGGAGGAAGATTTTTCTAATAATGATCTTGCTGATATTTTTGGCAAAAGTGAAGATGAGGATGATTTTGCCAGTTTCAGTTATACCCTACTAGATGACATTAACTAACAAAGTGATGATGACGAATCCAAGTTTCGTAGTTTTTTCAACAAGAATCCTTGCACACTCAAACTGAATACTGGCAGGTGTTGGCTTGTCCAGTTGAAGATCAGAGACAGTAACTATTAGTACATGTACCTGCAGAATCTGTTGAAAAAGTATCCTTGGACATTTTGTCCACAAACTCTGACTTTTATAACATGCCTTTCCAAATGCAGAATAGGTGATGCATTTAAACATTTCTTTCTTTTATTTCTCTATCTGTTTAGGATGAATGAACAGGGTGGTGGTCAGATGACTTGCTATTGGTATGTTCTGATATCATTAAAATTCTTGTCAATTGTCTGTTTTTGAGAGGAAATAATTTATTGTACAGTGCCTACTTTAAGATACATTTTTAATACCAAATTAAGGTGGGACTGGACACTAAATTCAGTGAATTTTGTCTCAAATCATTAATGAAATATTTATTGACAGATTGGCCAGAATGACATGAAATTGTCATGTGGGATATATGATTCTACACATAATCTGTGAAGAATACATATTATTTTGCTCTAAGCCATGGAATTTGTGGAATTTCATGGAGTAATAGGGGGTGTGTTTAAAGAGGCCATTTTGGAGAAAAACTTTTCTAAATCCAAGCCATTTTAATACTTCTCAAAATGGTTTGGCACTTGCACAAAGACAATGGCAATAAAGATTTTCAGAGTAGTCTGCCAACTAATGTTCAATTTTGACAATTTTGCAATCTTATACTTTCTCGTTGGGAAAATTTTTGGCAGTCTGTGGCATACTGTGCTATAAATGTTCCTTTTCATATAAAGTTTTAGTTTGCAGAGATTCAGATCAAAATTATAAACCCTCTTGTGATAATACCATTGCAGTGGCAATTAATTTGCAAAAAGTGGCAATACATGTACATGTCTGAGAACCCATGTTTTTCCTTTTTTCGGTCACCATCTTGTGTAAGCCAGTGATATATGGCTGCAGCAGTTGAATGCAAAATAGCGCGATATAGAAGGTCATTACTACCATCTTCATCTTGCCATGTGTTTCCTGCATAACCAATCAGAACATGAGACTATATACATTTGTGCTATCTGTAGCAACAACACCTACCCGGCTGTGTTGAGCCAATCTTGGCACCCTTGCTGTGCATTAGCAAGAAATAGAAAAGCAACTCAAAAGTAGACTAGGTTGTAGTGAAGAAATTGATGTCTCTAGGCTGGGAAGTGAAAAGAAGAAAAGTGCACCACCAGGAACCACAAAAATATGACATGGTGTGGGAAATAACAACTTTCAATCTAACACCAGGAACCACAAAAATATGACATGGTGTGGGAATTTGGTAGTAACAACTTTCAATCTAACATGGTGTGACAAAACAAAGTGTGTGGTTATTGGCTTGCTTTATGGTTGTGGTGCGTTCTGAAAATTGGAAATATCATCAAAATTCTTAGAATATAAGGCTGAAAAAAATATTTGTGTTTTTGTTGCTTGGAAAGTGTAAGTAGTCAGCCACCGTAGAGCTCGATCTTTCCTGAGTTCAATCCATGATAAGATAGCACTTTGTTTTTCATTATCACATTGTTACTTAGGAAATGGATATGTCAGAAATGTCATCTAAAGGAAATACTCTGTGAACAGCAAACACCATTAGATCAGGATCTTATCTCTATTTACTGCAAGATTTGTCCTTGGAAACAAGACTTTCATTTCGAAAAGGGGCTGTTTTCCAACTGTCACATTTTGCAAATAGGCAACTTAAACAATGATCTCAAATATAAGAGAAAATGAAGGCTTCTCAAAAAGGTCAAGTTAGCCTCTGGTATTGCCTTAAGTGGTCTCAACAACACTCTAAGAGGAAATAGAAAGCTTAAATAGACTCAGTGAACTCACATTTTGTATTGTTTTTTTCCCAGCATAATTTTTCAAAATTAAAAGCTTCCTGTGATGTCAAGGCTACAAAAGGTAGTAAGAGGAATTTAAATCTATTACAAATACCAACCTTTGATTTTGACAAAAACATTCATTTCCCCCCTTATTTTTTCACCTAAATGTTGGCAATGAAATTAGTCATGTACCTCTTTCAAAGTGAGTTGAAGAGCAAGACTCTTTAAGGATAATTTTCACTTTCCTTGTAACTGTAATGGTTGTTATCAGTGACAGTGATAGTGTAGATCTCTAAAGCAACTTAACATTTTCCTGGTTTAAATTTGTCTCAATCTATATGTATCTGACTTTTTGGCATAGGATAAAACTCAACATATTGAGTGGACATCCACTATTGTGATTTATTATTGTTTTACAGCTTAATTTGTCAATACCATTCTTGTTTTGTTGTTGTAGGATTCCACCATTCCTAGTGTAGCCTCTATGTCACAGGAAGACCAGGAGAGTAGGACACTGAAAGTCACTTTGCTAAGTAGTGAGTGGAGATCATCAACTGATGGGGACTTGTCAACTATCAACCGAGAGCTGGCCATCCAGTTAGCTAAACACCCCGATGTGGATGTTAGTATCTTGCTTCCAAATTGCAGTGGAGAGGACAGGAGCAGTGCTGAAAGTCACAATGTGAAGCTCATTGAAGCAGATAAAACTCCTGGTGTAGAGCCAGTTCTTTGCCTGTCATCTCCTCCAATAAACCATACAATGGACTGTGTCATTGGTCATGGAGTTCAACTTGGCCGACTAGTTCCATTCATCAAGAGAAATCCAAATTACAGTCATTGCAAATGGATTCAAGTTGTTCACTCTGCTCCTGAAGAAGATGGAATGTACAAAAACATTTCAGAAGGAGAGAAAAGACAAAAAACAGAAATCCAACTCTGTAAAATGGCTGATCAAGTTATCACAATTGGACCCAAGCTGGCAGAAGCTTACAAGTGTTACCTTCGTCCAGTTAAACAAGAGAAAAAGGTTTTTGACCTTACTCCAAGCATTTTCTCTGAATTTTTGAAAGTAGAGCAAGCCACTGAAGAAAGAAGAACATTCTCTATTCTTGTTATTGGAAGTGGTGACAGCTGTGAAGATTTCAATCTCAAAGGGTACGACATAGCTGTCAAAGCAATTGCTGAGTTGAAAGATGAATCCTTCAAACTCAAGTTTGTCTGTGCAGCTGAAGGAAAAGGTGATAGTGTAGCAAAAAAGTTGCTCCAACGTGACATTAGTCCTAATCAGCTTATTGTTCGCAGCTTTGATGATAGCAGAAAAGTGCTGGCTGACTTATTCTGTGAAGTGGATCTTGCAATAATGCCATCCAGGACAGAAGGTTTTGGAACAACAACTCTGGAAGCATTATCTGCTGGTCTGCCTGTACTTGTCAGTGGTAATTCAGGACTTGGAGAAGCTCTGAAGAAAGTGCCTTTAGGCTCACAGAGTGTGGTAGACTCTGAAGATCCTAAAGACTGGGCTAGAGAAATCAAGCGTATTCGTCAGAAAGAGAGAGAAGTGCGACTTTCAGAGTCAAGATTTCTACGTGAAAAGTACTTGAAGAAGTATAGCTGGGAGGAGCCTTGTAAGAGTCTTGTGATAAAGATGAGGAACCTTGTCTTTGGTAAATTTTACTTACATTTAAATGTTACAGCCTTCACTTGTCTAACAACTGATAAACCGGGTATACTGGTAAAAGTTAAATCAGCCTTGTGTCAACTTGGACCTATGGTTACCATAAATTATTTAAAGACCTGAATCAAAAAAATAGTTAAAAATGGTAAATTATAACATAATTGTTATGTTTCTTCTTACTCCATATGCCATGATTTTGTCAGCCACCTGTCATGTACATGACTGTATAAGAATAAAGTACTAATCATTAAGTTGATTTTCTTTTAGGTGGGAGTGAACAAGTCATCCGTAGTCTTCAACAGTGGCAACAGAATGCCAGTAGTTGTAAGATCAGCAGCAATACAGACCCACTCTCAGACTTTAAGAGAAAGGGCTATAGAATTTCTAACAATCCAGGGTCAGGAAATTGTATGTTTTATGCCTTGTCAGAGCAACTGGAGGTTGTCAAAAGAGTAAAGATCCATCATTTTGAATTAAGGCAGTCCTTAGTTCAGTATCTAAGAGAGCACCCAAAACTGGTGAGTATTTGGTAAAGTACATATGATGTCTAGGACAGATATTGCAAATGTATCATGTGCTCCACATTTAAGTTAAATGTTAGGAACTATTATTGGGAAATTTTCAAGGCTTTGATCAGGAAAAAAAATCAGTGTGTGTAATACATGAAGTTGAAGTTGACATGATTAAAAAGGACAACTTGTCTTTGTATCATTACAATGTCTTTCTTTCTTGTTTTTCTTATTTTAACTTATTATAGAACAACTGTGGGAAGTATAATGCTGACAAGTGAACTTGTTTATAATCATTCATTCAAATTTATCCTTTTTTGCTATTATTTAAAGATTGGATTTGGTCATTGTAAAAATTACTCTATCTAACATTATACACAGGGAGTACTATTAAGGACTACTGAGCCTAGCAACTAAAGAGTCTTGTGTTTGTCTTTGAACACTTTTGAAGTTAATATTTATTATATGAAAATATTACAATATTGAGTCATTACTAGACTAGTTTCTCTATTACTATTAATATTACATGTTATCTTGTTGGACTTTCTTTTAAAGGTGGATGGAACAGATCTGTTTCACTTTGTTGATAGACACACAACATGGGATGGTTACTTAACAGACATGGAACAAGATGGCACTTGGGGTGATCATGTGATTCTCTGGGCTGCAGCAAACTGTTATCAAATAGCCATTCATGTGATTAGTAGTCTTCCAGGCCACAGTGAGGTAATTATCAACCCAGATTGTTCATTTGACCAAAGCAAGCATCTTGTACTGGGACATGTCCATGAAGTACACTATGTCAGCCTTCAGCCCTTGCAAGGTAAGGCTTAGAACATAACACATTTAAAAATTGGCCTATCCGTGAATTTTGCAAACAAGATATTTCAAATGTTATAACTGAGTGTATTCTACAACTGTATGCTTTGTATCGCTGTTTGATTAAAGCCTTACATGAATTGGTCGTGCCTTGGTTCTTGTCTTATCTCCTTAACTGGCATAGTACGTAATATTTTAATTGTCAAATAGCCAGGAGGTGATATTAAAAAAACAAAAATTGGGATAAAATTTGACTGTCTGTTACAATTTAACAGATGGGGAATTGAACATTACCGTTGATGCAGAAGAATGGAAACTGAAAGAAACCAATATGCAGACTACAGCCAGAGCTGTGTCGCCTACAGAGGGAAGTGCATCTTATTCAGGAACAGAAGATTCTCTAGCACAGAGAGTCTTGTGCTCAATTGCCTTAAATTATCTGAAAACCATACCACCACAGTCAAGAGAAGAGCATAATAAGTTTAAGGAATACTTGAGAGAAATGAGGGTCATTATTACAGGTGTCTCTGAAGGAAGTTTGGTGATAACAGTGAAGTGTGAATCTCTCCAAAGCTTGGAGAAATTGTGGACAGATTATTCATCTGGTCATCTTGGTGAAATGGTTCAAAATTGTTTTGTGACTGAAAAGATCTTGAAGGAACATAACCTGACTGAGCTGAGGCTGAAAACAACAATGGACAGAGAAGAGTACAATGCAACAAAAGTTTACTTTGAGAGAGTTGCACTTAGAGGTTAGTCAACAGAAAGTTACATAGATGACTTATCTTTTCAAAAATAGTTGATAGGTTTTTGTACACAATCCACTACTCTTTCGCAATGGAGTACCATAGGGTTTTAAGATTTATGCAAAGTTTCTGACCAGGACAGAACTTGTTGTAACATTGAATAAGCTTGTGTTGGCTATTTAAGTCCTGAAAATGCTAGAAGTGATTTGTTTACAAGATATTGGTCAGCCTCAGTCTAAAGTTTCACTATGAGTTGGTTGAATTCTCTTCATTTTAACAAATTTAAACAGTTTATGCTTAGTGATTTTAGAATGCGCTTTAATTCTTACACAATATTGGTGTGTATTTCTTTTATCTTATTCAATTTTTTTGTTTCAAGCGTAATAATATTCATATTTTTTATTATCAGACTAGGCGTAACAATATTCACATTTTTTTATTATCAGACCTTTGTAGCTTGTACATGTACTGTATGTTTTGTTTACCCATTTCAGGTCTTGTGATATTTACTCTAGAGAACTTACTCTTTCCTCTCTGGTCCCGTTTTGTAATGAATATGGATTTCAGTAGTCGATCACACTTGCCATCCATAGGAACTTTTTTCTTCAAACAAGGAGTTATTTTAAGTAAGAGAAGGGAACTAATTACAGAATCTGATTGGAAAATTTATGACATTAGGATCTCACTTGATTTTACCAATATCAAATTTTGAATTTGTTAAGTCTTTGAGAACTTCTTTTACATGAGAAATTCAGTATATTCTAATGATATATGTGGTTCCTCCACTATCCCTAACATAATTGATCATGATCTACTTGCCACTGTATGCTGTTGGCAATCATTACTAATTTATTTTGGCTCATGTATATTTTTCAGAAATTAGAGAAACTATACCAGGGAGGGATGAGAGATCAGCATCTGTCAGTGCAGATCAGCCTTGCAAGCAACTCAAGGAAGAGTTGACTTCTGATGACTACAGTAAAGGTAAATTGTGAGGGCATTAGGTGAATCATCCAATTCAAATTTCCTTTCACCTTACTCAGTATACCTTTGTTGTCACTTTGAGTTGGTTGAATTCTCTTCATTTGTTTATTTTAATTAATAAATCTGGCACCAGCAACCTGTCACCACTGCGTATAAAGTGCTCATTTTCTTTGGGTTTTGTTTTACTTTATTTGTAATTATAAACTTAATATGGAAAATGGGTAAGCAAATAGTTTTAGTCAGCCATAATTTGTGATTGAGGGTTTATGAACAAAGGAATTATGTATATGGTGACTTTGAAGAAAAATTAGATCTTTGTTATACAGTCAACCCTTTATTATCTGGATTTTTTAATTTTCCACCCTTGCCTATCTGGTCCAATTTTTGTAATATTATAAATAAATCATATTCAAGATCCATCACAACATTTTGCACATGTAGCTAAACTCCCTTCAAACTGAATTTGTTTTGCTTTTCAAAGCTGTTGAATGTTTTAAGAAGTGATTAACACGGTTGGTAAGACAAAAAACAGAATTGACAGTATTCAACTAACTTGGTAACTTCAAAAACTGATGAAATTTAGCAAAGCGCACATGCTGTAGCAACTTGAGACAAACTATATTATGCTAGCATTTCAGGTTGGTGTAAAACATTGGTTAGCTTGTAAATACCTTTGGTAAATACTTTTAACAACTTGAAACAGTTTATGCACAATGATTTTAGAATGAGCAAGTTTAGGCAAGCTTCAGGCAAGCTTCAAATGAAAAGGTTAAACGAAGTTCGTCCTCCGCAGCCACTCAATCTGTGAAGCGCCGTATAGATAAATTTCATCCTAACTCCTACAAAGCCATTGGCTGGAAATACAGCGCTTTTTCAAAACTTTCCACCTTTTTTTTTCGCTATTAAAGAACAGCTGCATGAAGCCTGCATATAATAAATCTTCTGTTATCTTTGAAGGAGTCATTCGCTGCTCTCGCCATTTTAATCTCGGTGATTAAACTTTTTTTTACCAGATGCCGTAGTAAACAAGTCCAGGCAAGCTTCAAATGAAAAGGTTAAACGAAGTTCGTCCTTCGCAGCCACTCAATCTGTGAAGCGCCTTAAAGGTAAATTTCATCTTAAGTCTTACAACGCCATTGGTTGGAAATCCAGCGCTTTTTCAAAACTTTCCACCCTTTCTTTTTGCTATTAAAGAACAGCTGCATGAAGCCTGCACATAACAAGCCATCTGTTATCTTTGAAGGAGTCATTCGCTGTTCTTGCCTTTTTAATCTCAGTGATTAACGCCAATGTTTATTCAAAGACATGTGCGTTCAAGAACGAAGTATGTTGTTTACTTGCAGGTTCCGATCATTGTCTAATTGTGGAACACCTTGAAGGTGAATACATCAGACGCTCCAATGTAAAACCACTGCTGTGGGATAGCGACATCCAACTACCTATTGATGAAGTCTACACAAGGTTGCAAATGAAATGGAGAAAGAAGGCTTACTTTCAGCTAACAGAGAAGGAGGTTCACATGTATGAAATTTTCAAGCCTGCTAGGGAGGGTGAAAAGGGCGCCAGAATGGTACTTGTAGAAGGAAACCCTGGGATTGGGAAGACTACGTTTTGCCTTAAAATTGCAAGTGATTGGGCCAAAAAATTAGTACCAGTAGAGTTTCACTTCCCCATGTTTGAGTTGTTGTTTCTTCTAAAATGCTGTGATATTCACGAAGATACTAAAGACATAGTCCAAGCCATCGATGAGCAACTTCTGAATGATGACATTAACAATAAGGAAGAATTTTTGGATTACATCAGAGATGGTAAGAATCAGGATGAGATTCTTTTAATTCTGGATGGTCTTGATGAGTTACCAGAAGCATCAGAAAAAGTCGTAGATAGGCTATTTAGAAGAAAAGTTTTCTCGCGCTGTTTTATTTTGGCCACCTCACGCGAAGAAAAAGGAATCGATGTCCGGCGGCGCTATGACTTTGATACACTTTTGCAGATTAAAGGGTTCACCTCAAAGGACGCTACAGATTACATCAGAAAGCATTTTAAAAGCGTTGATCCACAAAATGTTTCAAAAGGCGAGAGGCTCATTGAAGCTGTTCAAACAAATACTCACCTAAGTGTGCTAAGGAGCAATCCGTTGAATCTACTTCTCTTGTGCGTTGTCTTTGAAGACTTTGAAGGGGAACTACCATCTAATCGCACTAAGCTTTATCAGATTATTTTTCGATGCTTGTTGAGGCGATATTGCTCCCGAAATGGCTTGAACGTTCATCGGAATGCCGACGAAGCCTTAGAGAATCAATTTAAAGAGTCCCTACTTGTGCTAGGGGAGTTAGCGTGGAATTGTCTTCGAGAAGACCGCCGTTCGTTTTCGGAAGAGGAACTGGACAAGTTAGAACATTCGAGGACCCATGTGAGAAGATTTCCAGCTATCAAATTGGGCCTTGTTTTCATGGAAGCCAGTTCAAGGCCAAGTCAGGAACCAAGACATCAGTGTCATTTTCTTCACAAAACATTTCAAGAGTTTTTAGCTGCCTTTTACCTAGCGAACCAGTTGTCAAGGAGACGACTTAACCTTACTGATCATTCTGTTTTCCGCAAGGAAAGTATGTTAGGTAGATACAGAGAAGTATTTTTCTTTTTAGCTGGCATATTAGGCATGGAAGGACAGGTGTTTTTCAAAGAGGTTGTAACGATTTTAAGAGAAGACTTCGAGTGGTGCTACTCGGACCAAGAGTGTGAGTTCTTTCTTGAGCTTTTAAAAGAGAGCGGTGATGCAGACGATTTAGGCAAAGTTGCCTGCTGTCGTATTCCATTACCGAACGTTTTGAAGTTGGATGATTCACAGCATTCTTGGCTTAAACTTATACGATATGCACACGAAGGCGCCATACTCAAAGGTGATGTGGCATCAGTGCAGCTTACTAAACTGAGCCTGTCGGACAAGCAGTCTTTCAGTAAAGGCGATGTGGAAGATTTCCATGGAATTATCGAAAGCAGTCAAACTCTCACAGAGCTTGTCATTGGTAATATCGAGAACATGTCCCCTGATGTTGCAGATCTGTTTGCTGAGAGTATTTCGTCAAGCACTTCACTAAGAACAGCCACGCTACGACTCTTTGACGTGAGTACTGAGAGGTGCGCCAGTAATTTTAGCACCTTGCTATCGACTCTCTCGCAATTGGAATGTCTTTCGCTTGAAGTCTTTGGTGTTCTGAACAACACTGCTACACAAGCCGTGAAAGCGTTATTCAAATCATCGCTAAGTTCTCTCGCCTTCATTGTTCATGGGGATCAGGATGACCGTTTAATGTCGATTGTTAGTGAAGGACTTGCAGAAGAAACCGCGGTGGAGTCTCTTAGTTTTGTTGTTCATGGAAGAGTTAGCAACCCTGGAATCGTAGCACTGCAGAAAGGTGTTCTGCGAAATAGTAATTTGCACTCTTTAGAGTTAAAAGTTTACGGGGATATCCCAGAAGCGTGGGTGGAAGCTGTTGCTGCCATACTGGCAGCCAAGAAGTCATGGAAGTCTCTTATTATTCATCCAAATATATGCGGGAAAATTAAACATGAAGGAAGTTTTCTGCGCTATCCGATTCTGGGTGATGCCCCATCAGAGAAGTCGTTAACCGTGAACGTCTGTGGTGAACTGAGCGTTCTAAGCTTTAACGCCCTTGGAGATTTTTTCATGAAAAGTTCGCCACTATCTGGTTTGCAGTTGAATGTCCGAGGTAAACTAAGCAATGAAGTTGTGGATCGTCTGGTAGACTATTTTCTGGCTAACAATTCATTGTCCTCACACACCATTATTAACCTTAGTGGTGAAATCAGAAGCTATAAAGGAACTGCTCTTGAAAGATTAGTTGAAGAGGGTCAAAAGCATTCTGTCTCAGTGCACTTGAATGGTCTTGGTGAGGATCACCTTTTAAGTGGTTGTGATACTCTCGCTAATTTTTCGTCAGCGTCGGCCACGTTTTTAGTTGACGGGAAGACTGCCACACTCCTTGAAGTCATTAAACTATTAAGCTCTGCGTCATCAACCACGTTCAATCTCATAGTTAACGATCTCGCTGTTACGTGGAAAGACTGGGCCAGCAGTGTGGGTAATGGCTTGGCGAAAAGCAGATCATTAACTACATTCAGTCTCACAGTTAACGATTACCTTGGCGCGATGGGAGACTGGGCCGACAGTGTGTGTGATGGCTTGGCGAAAAGCACATCATTGACTACATTCAGTCTCACAGTTTACAATCAGGTTGACTACATGGGAAACTGGGCCAGTGGTGTGGGTGATGGCTTGGCGAAAAGCACATCATTGACTACATTCAGTCTCACAGTTTACAATCAGGTTGACTACACGGGATACTGGGCCAGCGGTGTGGGTCATGGTTTGGCGAAAAGCACATCATTAACTACATTCAGTCTCACAGTTAACTATTACGTTGACTCCATGGGAAACTGGGCCAGTGGTGTGGGTGACGGTTTGGCGAAAAGCATATCATTGACTACATTCAGTCTCACAGTTAACAATCACGCTGAAGACATGGGACTCTGGGCCAGCCGTGTGGGTGACGATTTGGCGAAAAGCATATCATTGACTACATTCAGTCTCACAGTTAACAATTACGTGGACGATATGGGAAACTGGGCCAGTGGTGTGGGTAATGGCTTGGCGAAAAGCACATCATTGACTACATTCAGTCTCACAGTTTACAATCACGTTGACTTGATGGGAAACTGGGCCGATGGTGTGGCTAATGGCTTGGCGAAAAGCACATCATTGACTACATTCAGTCTCACAGTTAACAATTACGTTGACGCAATGGGACTCTGGGCCAGTGGTGTGGGTGATGGCTTGGCGAAAAGCACATCATTGACTACATTCAGTCTCACAGTTAACAATCACGCGGGTGAAAAGGGACACTGGATGTACGATATAAGCGAGGGCTTGGCAGAGAACGGTTCTTTAACGACGATAAGAGTTGCATTTAGTTTGTACGGTGAGGACAGAATTCGCGAAACGTTTAGGTAGTCTTTGTTCATTCCATTTTTTCTCCGTCTATTGAAAGCGTGAATAGAACTACGTAGAGCTAGAAATTAGGATAAGAACACAGTTGAAGAGAAACAACCGTGTTAAAGTTCATTTGTAGACTGTGAGAAGTTAACTAACATATTTAGTCGGGAGGCAAGAATTCAAACGGTGAACATACTTATCGTCGTCTTTTACTTATCAGTGTTGTTTCTGTTTGCACAATGTACCAGTTTGGAAAATATTTCGTTCGGACTAACAGTATACATTAATCTATAGCTGACAAAAAAGAAAAATATTTGTTGGTAAACATGAATTAGAAACACAGCCCTTTGCGTGTTTTGATGCAAGGAGTGCGCATGGTATTAATTAGAAACGAAGTCATAAAACTGATGCGTTGAAATACCAGGATGCCGACACAAAGAGATAAAGTTTCAGTGATCTTTTCTACTGTTGTCAACGTTTTATAAGATGAGCCTAAATGCAGATGCGCTGTATCGAATTTTCCGTGAACTTTCTGAAAAATTTATTTATTTTTAACCGGCTCCAAAGAATTGCCTATCCCGCTTATTTCCCGACCCAACCAACCATTCAGTAATAGGCACATCTCAAGAATAGCAACCGAGATTTGAAATATACTATAAGAAAAAAAGAACCCCTAAGGTAAATTATCCAATAGTTCATTTTACAGTTGTGTACTTAGTTGCCAAGCCTTTGATCTGGAGTGAGGCTGAAGGTGACCTTGTTGTGATATAGACTAGTATCTAGTTAGCGTAATAACAAAGTGATTTGCATTTGAAAAGCAGCAAGGTTTGTATCATAACATGGTCAACCTTAGCCTCACCCCCGTTCAAAGGCTTGGCAACCAAGCACACAACTGTAAAATGAACTATTGGTATTGACTGGAAATTTCGCCTGCATGACTCCTGGAAAAATTAGGAGATAAAGCATCAAGTTAACGGCATCAGCACACAGCAAAAATGAACCTCCTTTTCCAGTTATACTAAAACCCTACAGCCCCCCCCCTTTCTTTCCTACCCCCCCCACTCTCAAACCTCCCCCCCCGCCCAAAACCCTGTGGGGGGGGAGGAGGAAATATTCTCTTATTCGCAGCTTATGCAAATATTCTGGTTTAAGTAAACAAAAAGGCTGAAAGAAGACGGTTAAGAGTTTAATTTTTCCTGTTTTCGATTTTCCGTTAACGTCGTGATTAGTCTAAGTAATCGCATAGGCCCGAGGACAATTCAGGATTTCACTTGTATTTTCTTTTGGGAAAACTTTGAAAATACAAGTGAAATTAATCCTGAATTGCCTGAGGGCATTTGCGATGACTTGTTTATCACATAAAGGGCTGAATTTTTGAGGGAATTGCATTCGTGTGCAATGTCCGCGCGATGAAGCCCTTCAATGCCGCCACAAACGTCAAAACAAACGTAACTGACCTATAGATTCAATTAACTTTTTATTGTCAAAATACAGTTGACAACGTTACACGGCTTCATTCAGTTCCATTGCAGGCATTAAATCGTTACCGCAAATAGCAAAAAGGCTCACTCAACATCCAGTAATGGTGCCTTCTTGAAGTGCCTTCTTGATTAAGAAAAAATGCCCTCTGTCTCTGCCAATCAGCATTCAGTAATTTTGCCCCGTGTCGTAAATGATCTCGTGACAAGCAATTAGACTGGTTTGATCTACACTATTTTATTCTCTTCCTCACTAGTAACTCCGATCTCACAATCTATTAACTCAAATCACTTGACATCACCGATCATATTTCTGTATTTCCGTCATGAATCTATCAACTAATTCAATGCTTCGGTCAAGACACCCCACATGTGATAAGCCTGGGTATCAACGGGGTGTGTTATTGCTTATGAGCCTCGAGTGTCACGGTCTGTGCAATCGTTATGCTCTGTTAACTTCTTATTTTAGTAATTTTTTGAAAATAAATCGAGGGATAGAGACGACCGCTGTGAGGTGAATCCGGATGTAGCAATTACATGTCCAATTTTACATTTGTTTGATCTAGCACACTAAACTATAAACGTCTAATCAATTTTTTTTTTTTGGTGGTGGGGGGGAGGAGGGGTGAGTACACCAGGCCCAGCGAAATAATGAGAGCTACTCTTCTCTGGTGCTGTACGAGAAACGCCATAGCGGACAAATAGACTCGGAAAACTGAAAGTTGTATTGACATTTTAACGATATAAAAAGTTGGGGACAGGTGTCACCCGATTTGGGTTTCTATTTCTGTCTGTATCACTATCGAAAGCGTTTAAGTCAGCGTTAAAAAAAAACAAACAAACAAAAACAAACTTTGCGTTCTTTCTTCCCCTTTTTTATTTCCAGGTTATCTATTTTGTTATACTGTCTCGAAAAACTCTCTGGCCGAAATAACGCAAATATTTCGCAAGCCTCGAGTGTCACGGTCTATGTAATCATTATGCTCTGTTAACTTCTTATTTTAGTGACTTTTTGAAAATAAATCGAGGGATAGAGAGGACCGCTATGAGGTGAATCAGGATTTAGCAATTAGGTGTCCAATTTTACATTTGTTTGATCTGGAAATTATATTTTATGTTAGGGAAAACTTAGCGCAATTTTGATGACTGATGTATGACCAGAGGGGTGCGTAGAAGGTGTGTGCGGGGAGAGATCGGGGTGATACTGATATGTGAACAGAAATAGGTAGTCTTGCTGTGGTTTGATTGGAAGGCCCTTTTGTTGAGAACTTTGAGTAATCGCGCTTTGGTCTTTAAGTAGGCTGGAATACCGTATCAAAGAAAAGAGCGGAAATCAAACCTAGCACTGTAGTATAGAACCTCTTTTACCTCCGAGTGGTTCGTGACCACCCCGAGTGTTACCAAAATAGCTCCAAAAGTGAGAACCCTCGCTCTTCCCACCTAAAGTGGCCCCAAATCTTAAATATTACTTATTCCCAAGATCTAGGAATTGGTTCTATCTAATACCATACCTTTATCTTTATTGGTTAGTCGCGAGAATTTATGTTAGTTGGACCGTGCGGAGTTCAATTCGGTTTTAAATCAAACGTGTGATTAGAAGTAGGATTTAGATTTGATACTCATGAGTGTGAGTCCCAATAGAATGGGACAACACAAAGTGTTGTTTCTAATTAATCAAAACTATGAAGAAATTAGAGAACCAAAATACTCATCCGTTTGACATTTTCAGAGACGTAAACATATTTGACTTTTTCCACGAAAAACTATACCCAAAATTTAAGCATTTTCGAAAAACTGTACCCAGAAGTCTGTGTAACAACGCGCAGGTAGCGTGAATTGTGCAGTGACACAAGCATGACCTTTAAACTGTCCCGTCAAACTGTCCAGTCACAAGCATGACAGGTACACTGTTCCATTTGTGCTCCAATTGTATTGCTGATAGCCAATCACGTTCAAGAGATTTTTGATAGTTCTGACGATAAAGTTAAGTCTAGGCAATAGGTTACAACTATCTTTATTCTCATTAGTGGACTGACTGATTTGTGTGTCAAAAATGTGAGATAAATTGCTTCATGATTAATCATGCGAGGAAATGGGCTGGCTGTGCATCAGCACTAAAATGGGCTGGCTGTGCATCAGCACTAAAATGGGCTGGCTGTGCATCAGCACTAAAATGGGATATACTGCTGTTCTTTTTATCTCTAAAGATACATGTTCGCATTGTGAGATGCTAAATAAGAAAAGAAATAATCACTTCGGGAAAATTCATCAAATTTATTTGCACAGTGCAGAGCTTTTATTATCATTAAAGTACATCGTAACATTTGTTGTTCTTGTAATTGTAGCAGTGGTTTTCAGCTTCACATTGTTTAGCTGACAAGCGCAGGTACTTTATCTTGGCTCCCCTGTACTGATAACACACCGAATCTAGCAAAGAAAAATGACACAATGAGCAAAGCAGTTGCTGCGTGGTCAACCTGACATGCACGCGTTTGTTGTGAGAACTTTTCAAGTTTAGAATATCAACTGCTTTCAGAGCTCTTGAATGAGCTTTCAGTGTTTGAGCAAAGCACAGCGGCATTCGGCTTTCGATGCTAACAACTCAAAAGGAGCTTCACTAATGATGATGGTTATAACTGCGTGATGTTCAACTTATATAGGAGGGTAAATTTTACCAAGTCTTAAAGATGAAGGTTTCAAGCCCATCTAATATTTCTGCTTTATAGAGATGGCTCCTAGATGATAATTTTCCTACCTTTGCTGTAGTAGCATATGGCTGTCATCATATTGCGCCTTCGTGTATCCCACCCATCCGACCAAAAGCATCTATCTGGTTTACTCTCACAGTCCTCCTGACTGGTATGCCATGGTGCGGCCATAACTGACATCTGTAATACATACCCACCAGGAGTCACGCATCCGCTGGGTACTAAAAAGGGTAAAAAACATAATTTATACCAGTAAGATTTTCAAAGTACAGTATCCATTCGCCTGGTTTTGTTAAAACACACAATACCAGAGTGCTTTTCATTTGAGTCAGTGTCGCCCCCCACCCACAAAAAAATACAGATACTGTATGTGAGATGCTTGTCACAAGTTTAGGTGAGGAATGCTCTGGATCAACATCTAGTTCTCTGAAGCTCAGTGGTAAAGCATAGGAGCATAAATGTGAGGGGCTGGGTTCCATTCCTTATAAGGATTCGGACGGTTCCTCTGATCTACACCCGTAACTCCCACCCTCAAATAAAATAAAATAACATGAACTTCCGTAGAATTTGGGTTTATTTCATATTGGGCTATAGGAAGCAAAAAAGATGTATTTTTTAAGGTTTACCTCAAAATGGTGACCTTCTGCAAAATGGCGGCTGTTCGTACATACGCAGCCAAAAAACGGAAATAATCAAAGGTTTATACTTCCCAAAATGTAGATATAGCTGTATTATTTGAACTTTTCTCATTCCAAAAATTAATTTTCCCCCAAATATTTACTCAGATGATTTCAGGCAATAACAAATTAAGAAAACAAGAGTTGAGTGAACTTGACTTAAAAATAATTTCAAACGTCATGGAACTTTATCACAGAGAAACCGTTGAATTTTAATCATTAACAAACATTGCACAATTTTTACAAACCCCTATCAAGGGTACACCCTCTATTAAGCAGACACTTGGGAATGTCCTGAGGGTGTCCACTTAATAGAGGTTTCACTGTACTATCATAATAGTAAACGTGATGTTTGTGAATGTCCTTACTTTGTCAAGATATTCCTGGACCACAATCTGCTCATGAGATGGGATTCTATCTCCATTTCACACCAGAGATATCCTAAAATTAGGACAGAACTACATGTATTAGTCATCAGATTCATCATGAAGGTACCAAAAGAGACTAGTTAGTATGCATGCATGTACATAAATTATCATAAGTTGTTAAAAAATATTCAATTTTCACTAAGATTAAAGCAGAAGGAAGCTTTAAATTCATGTGATGGAAGGCTTCACCAGTACCCCTGATTCACTGAAATATTTCAGGACAGTATCAACAACTGTGCAATAACAAATTGGATCAAGATTGTATATGTTAATAATATTATAGCACAGGGCCCAGTTGTTTCAAGGCTCATTAAAACTAGCCAGGGTTAAATTTTAATCTGGTATTTTTTATTCCTTCATTCAATTATATTAAAATTTTCTATATTCATTTCAGGGCATTCAATCATCAAATTTCAGGCAAAGAGAATTATTATAATACTGAATTTTCTTTTAAAGCTTTCAGATCTCAAATCAGATTTCACACTAACCCTGGGTGATATCTTAACTAGCTTTAAACAACCTAGCTCTGTACTTTTTCAGATATTTTACAAGCACAGTGTGTTGGAAATTTAAGAAAAAAACAAAAAAAATTTTACTTTTCATTAATAATGAATATATTGAAAATGATCGATGGTAAAATTCAAGATTTTAAATTTTTGTCAAACTTACCCATTTTCCATAGCTCCATTTGCTGGTTTAACAATGAAGGTTTTGTGTTTCTTTCTTTTTTTCAGTTCTCTACAATAGCCTTGAAATGCAGCATATCTGATGCAGTGAGAATGGGCAGTAAGCTAAGGAAAGTACTTCACTTTAATGTAATTACACTGATGTGGTCATATGATGAAAAAAAAAATCATGGTGCTTTTCTTTTGATCCCTCTTACCAATTGTTATTATTATTAGTATTATTATTATTATCTTTTTAATTATACCATCTTGTAGTCAACCTACATACAAGTACACATACTGTAACAGTTGTGATCTGTAAAGAATGTATATTTGGATCAAACTTAATGCAATTATTACCACTAACTATTACAGTTACATCATATGAAACCACAGCAATTTCTATCATTCGAGGTTAAGCATTGCATTATTATAATTTTCAATATTTATTTAACATACTACAGTACTACATCAAACACAGTCCCTGGCTACAGTTCCTGGAGATACAGTTTACTGTTAGCTGATGGACCATGAGCATTGATTCCAAAATTTCTATCAATGCTTGCTTCTAAACTCAAGGTGAAGTACAGTACAATGCTGATTTTGCAGTCATCACAGCTACATGTATTAAATTATACAAAACATCAAACTGCATAAATCTCACTGACCATAGATATTAGTTGATAAAGGATATTTGGCAGGGAGAACCCAAGTTTGTAGAACAAAACTGTATTCCTCTGCATGAGCTCTTAATTTGCATTCTGAAATTCCAAGATAAGATGTTAAAATACAATAATTATTGCATTAATGCAAGCAATTATTTAATATGATACTTGTAAACTTAAAAATGTAAATACCATTGCTCAGAATTGTTTAAGAGGGGTTTAATCAATGTTTGAAAATAAAAATTAACTTTTCCTGTCTGCTATCAAACAAAGTATTTGACATTCCCTACGTTATCCTAAGGTCAGAGAATTATCTGCAAACTATGCAGAATTCTCCCACCCTATGTTGATGGCCTAAGCTATTTATTTTATTATTAAAAAGTGAATAATGTGCTGTAATTTCCAGTAACTTCTCCTACAAATAATAATACACCTCTAATCAACTATCTATACTTGCTCTCAATGGAAGAGAGATAAAATACATGTATAAATATTGAGATCTCATGAGATACAGAAAATACATTTAAAACATTGCAAATCATAATTACAGCATGTGTATTCACCAGTAATTAACTTCCATTTCAATCTACAAGTTTTAAATGTATTTAATATTGTTATACATTATGTAAGTATTACATGAAAATTTGACACCAAAACAAACTGATTAAACACTCACTTTGCCATATTCCAAGCTAGGTTATCCTTCCCACAAATCTCACCCATACTTGGAAAATGGTTGATTTTCTTTAGAGTGGAGACAAAACAGTAAGAATTAAATTATTCATTATTATAAAGGAAATATCAAATAAATTTGTGAACATGTATATGTATAAGATACAGGCTATGTGAGTGTTTATTTCTTTGCATGAAGGTATCCTGCACACTGATTTGTCTAGATTCCCACAATATCACATCTTATATGGTCTACTCAGACAAATTAATTAGTAACAAAAATTTATCATACCTGAAATGATTTTAGTTCTATATTTTTTTCAACTGGCATTGATGAATCACTCCAAATGAGGAAACTGTATGTAGAGAAAGTCATTGTTGAAGAGACAAAAATCATATTTATCAAATTGATTAAAAACTATGGCTTTTACAGATAGATGGATGTAAAAAAATAATCAGTGACTGACATTTTATTTGTACATGTAACACTACATCCTCCATCAGGTTACTTTGAAGCAAAATTATTTACATGTATTAAGTTTTCCTATCACTGTTAACTCACCTGTTTGAGTCATCATCCCTTGCAAGATACATTCCACATTGAAGACAAACTTTTCTAACTGCAAGGGAGAATTTTTATAATGAAAAAACATTGTTATGAGATAATTCCAAATTTCAGATATACAGTAATTCCTTGAAAAGTATCAGAAGCTGAATCCATACTCATGAGTTATGATCTCACTTTGCTTTTGATTCACTCAAATACTTTTTTAGAAAATTTGCATCATTCTCTCCCCCAATCAGAAGAAAAACTAATTTAGTCCTGACTAATATCCCATTAAATGTCATTCATAGAAGCTGCTTAAACAGATGTTAGTTAACTTAAAATTTAGTGAATTGAAATTAAAAGTTGGTGATTAGATGGATCCCATAGAAAATTAAGTTTTTCAGTTCTCTGTATCAGATTTTTATTCCATTATAAACCTCTTGTTTAACTTAACATGTTTTACTGGTGTGAATAGGATATAAATCAACTGCATTTTGTTGGGCTTTAGTCACCATCTTCTTGTTGTGTTGTCAGTTCTTAGTGGTCCTAAGTGATATGTTTTTTTGTTATAAGTGGCTATTGTGATTACTTTGGTTGTTGTTACACTGATCGGAAAAGTGCTCCTTAAGTGATTTTGCTGATATAATATTGTCCTTCAATATTAAAGGGGGAGAGCTCAGTTAAGAGAGATTACATTAACACATACATGTACATGTTCACAAACATGTGAAGAAAAGAATATTGAATATTTTTTAGCGTTAAAAATTTTGTATTAGTCTTGGTAGAAGAAATGTGCGTCTGATCAATTTAAGCGATGTATGACGCAGTTCGTTAATGTTTCCTGCTTTTGTGTAGCGGTACACGAGGACACAACCGCGATGAAGTTGACTATTGAACGCCTCAAAAATACTTCTTGAGCGCGCATCACAGTCTAAGGACAAAGAAGTAATTAAGCTCTTTTGAAACCATGCCGACAACTTTAAACCACAGCTTCAAAGAAACAATGGTGACGATTATTTTGCATCAAAAGATCAACGTTACCGTTGTTAGTTCCAATAATTAACGAGAGCGAAACGAAGCACGAAAATAAAGTTATCTAATGGTCGTACATTAAACCTCAAAATATATGTGTAACGATGCGATACAACTGCACAAACATATCTTACACTTGTAACTTAGGTGATCTTCCAAGTACACAAAGAACAAATGTAACCAATCTTCCTCTTGGAAGTATCACCACGTACATGTACCACTGAACCCAAACTAAATTGTAATTTTGACTTACCGACATCGTACTTTGTTGCAGCTAAATTGGCCGTTACACGGCGTCTCCTTTGAGGTTTCTTCTTCATAGAATTGTTTACTGTTTGCTTGCGAACATGGTTTGTTCGAGCCCGTACCATGCCTCTTGTCTGTTCCAAGCTTTCTTCACACTCGTCGGCCAAAGATGCCGCATACTCACTTTCCCTTCCTCGATTTTCACAGAAGTTGTCAGCAGTGCTTAAATCAAGTAATTTAAGGTTGTCTTTGGTCATGACAGACCTACTTCCATTGAAACCATGGCTGCTGTCTTCCATGGTTACAGAACCCAAAGGCGTTCGAGACGACGATGGAATCTCCGTGGTCAAATTGTCTGTGCT